CCTTTAATAGGCATGGTACAGTCTGAATTATACATAACTGTTAGAAACAGCTTCTTGTTTTATGAGGTTCTGTGTTAGAATAAATATTTCGGAACTTTTAGTAAAATTATGACTTTTCATTTAATGTTCTCAATCAATGTAAACAGATTTTAGATGATAAAGTTTAAGTTCTAGTTTAAAAAATAGCACGGTTTGATATCACCAAAAACATAAGATTGTACATGCATAAATATATGTATATTGTTCAGCTTATCCTCCTTTTTATGAAATTCACTATTGCTTCATTGAATGAATTGTTGATTACCAAGTTAAGAAAGGGAATATATCAGGCAGTAAACTATAGTAAGTGTAATCAGTGGAGAAGAAAAAACAGGTAAGAATTTTACTTCAGTGTCTGCAAAGTTAGAAGAGTACAAGAAGAAAGTTTTGTGGTGACAAGCCTCTCAAAAGCCAAAGAAATACAGTGTATGTTGCTAGAGTCACAAGTTGCAAGTGCTTAATTAATTTTTTAAAAATATGGTGTTGTTCATTTTACAAAGATCACGTAATATAAAACGCTGCCAACCTCTAAAAATATTCAACTGAGTACATTTTTTAATCACATACAGCTTTAGAAATAGTAGCGTTTGTATGGATTTATGAACTAAATTTCAACTACTTCACTTAAAAATGCTAGACACAAACATTTGGAGCGGAAGATGAGGTTATGCATGCTCCCTGCGAGTACATCTGGAGGACTCACAACAAGCCAACAGTCCAAACTATTTCCTTTGAACTTGATGAGCACAGTATGCTTCAAGGAACGCAAGCCATGATAGGGTTTTACACAACAAGTTCCAACCTTTCAACTGCGCTCAGAATCAACTGGAAAATGAACTGCAGAGTCAAGGCATCGCTTGGTGTGAAATATTACTGTCCGGTTAAGTACGAGATCAGCCCTTCTCCTAAGCTGGATCCGTGAAGAGCTTGTGACCTCTGCATTCCTGGGGCTCGTCCTCAGCTACAACTAAAGCCCAGATGTGTAAATACAGGTGGCGAACAGCTATCGTTCTGTATGAACAAGTGCCCCTCTGCCCAGCCTCCATCCAAAACCAATGAAAAGAAAAAATGATTCACCAGTTAGAGGCTGTAATTTTTGCTCTGGTCCATGAACAGTAACAATAAACAATGTCCTTTGAGGTTTACCTATGGGCTCAGTGAGCGTAGCTGAGAGTATTGTGACACATTTATCTCCCTCACGGCAGCAAACCGGAGACCACAGAAACATTACTGCCACAAGTTTCTCCATTTCATCAACCAGTGAGGTGAAGACCCTCTCCCTCCCCACCCCTTCCCTGCTTTGGCCCTGGGAACTGCGTGGTTTGTCTCCCAGTCCTACAGGGAATGATTTCAGAAGATCCACAGCACGAAAAATGCTAGGACGTGGGAAATAAGTAATGTATCTCTATGTGTAATTTATTTAATTACTAGTGTATTGGCTCCTATGTAAATCCTGTGTGAGTACCAAAACCTGAGATCATTAGGTGTTATTTACACCATCTGAAGATGCCGTGGTGGTGTCAGGCTGCCTGAAACACCGGCACTGAATCACCAGCAGGACTCGTGCAGCTCCCGTTTTCCTTCAGCCTTATTTCCTCTCTCAGATTAGGCTCTCAAACAGGCCCTCTGGTGCCATAAGAGGCACAAGAACCGTTCAGTGTTTACTTTAAAGAGAAAATATATTTTAGATTTTTAAAAAATGTTTTGTGATAAGCATGAAAAATGTAAGAACCATCACTTCAACTGTATCAGCTAAAATACAATACTCTATACTCACTATATATAAGCATTATATATAACTAAAGGAAAGTGGAATCCATTAGTCATTCAGTAATTATGGAATAAGGCATTAAACTTCATTCTTCTATCTGAAAGCAAGGTCAAAATAAAATAATAAAAAAAAATATCCTAATTGCTAGCATGCACCATGTTGACTGTCATTTTCTTTTCATGCCAGATGCAAGAAACCTCAGGGATCAGAGCAGACTGTTGAACTAGCATTTAATCATCATTGAATATTGGTTGAAAAAGAAAGTTATGATGTAGATGAAAAATAAAAATGTATATAGGGATAAAAAAAATGCCAGTTTTCACTGTTATGCTTCAAAACATAGGAATCAATGTATGTAAATTATTTTTCTAGATAACAATCATTTTTACTAAGAATATGAAGGAATAAAAATCTGGAAGAAGGGCAGTGAGTCTCAGAAAAATGATAATATAGGGAAAGGAATATACAGGTAAAGGAAATTTAAAAAAGGAGATGCTGAGTTTTCTGGTTCCCAACACTGAACCAAAACCTCACCTGGAAACTCCCAGTCTACCCATATTTTAAAGATCAGTTTTTCTCTAAGTATTGCCAGAGAAAATTTCTTAAAGCAAGCCCAAATATTTTCTTAGAAGTTACTGAACAGGCACAAACAAATATTTGAAAGTCTAATTTTCTCCAATAAGTGTGATTCTTCCACCTTGGTCCTACTTTTGTTTTTTTCCTTTGGTTATATATGCAAAAAGAAATTAACACTTTCCCCCATCCCACCCCCTCACCCCCCCCCCCAAAAAAAATTAGAAATATTCTCTGTCATTTTTTACACTGATATAAAAACATGCTGATATAAACAGAGCCATGATAATTTATATTAGCTGTAGAATTTTCTCTTGTTAAACTCAGTTGCTGCCAGACTGTTTTGTATAAACAGCTCTACAAACAGCTATCTGTTAATCCAGCATTTTAACATGAAAGAAGTACCAGCGTTACTTCAAACTCAAAACTTCAAGAACAAGAAAATCTCAGGAATGAGCGGAATATTTATCCAATATAGTCTAAGTGAACATCATAAGAAAATATTTCAGAATAAATACATATATAAACCATAAATCCTGATGAATTACCAAACGGATTTTTCACAGAAAAGAGCTGCAAGAGTTTTGTTTTTTTTTTTTTTTTCTGCTGGCAAGACAAATTCAATAGGATATCTGCTAAGAAAGCATTTAATACTCGAGAATTCACAAAGAAGAATTTTAGTTAACGCCCTAGAAGTCAGCACTTAACTTTACACATCTGATAGCTTTACAATACACACTAGAGAACTGCATCAAACTACATATATTTACATGGGAATTACTACAGTCAGGATTTCAGTTTTTGGGTTTGTTTCAGAAAGTCAGTGATCTTTTACATGCACCAGGAAATTTAAAGGTGCTCCTGTCCTGGAAGATTCAGCTGTTCCGTAATCATATCCAGTAGATGGACGCTGGGCCCACACCAGATTTAAATGAAGAGCATCCTCCAAGAAAGTAGAAGCTTAAGATAATAATAGAAAAGACTCTTCAGTTAAAGCAAACTGAAGCATGTGGTAACAGTTTAAACCTAAAACCTTAGTGCATCTCAACTGCCAAGGTATAATCCAGCTTCATTTTTTTTTTGCACAACCAGCCAGCATGACATGGAGTCAGTCCTCTAATGAGGGATGGATGTAGCAGATTCAGTCTCATTGTCCATTTTCAGATTTATCTTAAACCACAGAAATAACAAATGTATCAAGCAAAACAGAATCTGAACTGAGGCAGGTAAAACAAGGCACTGCCAGGCCAAATTTTTCTACTACTTGCTAACTTCTCATATTTCTACTACAGCACTAATAGCCAGTTTGTGCTGTCATTATCAAGTTATGGGCTAAAAATCTGCAATACACAAGACACATTCACTCAGGATACTCGCAGCATCAAACAAACCAGAGCTATAGTGTACTGCAGTAGTAGCCAAGGCCTATGGCACTTCACTGTAGTGTAGGATGGGAAACAGCTGGCTGATGTTAGGGGTAAACTAGGAGATTGGGCTTGAGCAATCCTGCTTGTTTATTCCTCGCACAGCTGGGGATGCAGATTACCAAGCAGAGTCAGTGCAGGCCGACCAGCAATTGCGTGACAGCCCCTCTGCCTTGACTCTTCAGTGAGTACTGTGGCTTGCCCAGGTGTAGAAGACAACTAGGAGACACCATACTCTCTGCTCTGCGATACACCTAACCCCCTGACATCTTCACACAGCCCCATTTGCTCTCGTTTCTTTTTCCTCCCAGACCTTTGGTCTGCTAGAAAAGGCATCTCTGGTTTTCTGATGCTTAGCTCAGTTTTTAACCGTGCCATGCATTCTTGTATCTCTTGTTTCTCTGACCTTTGTTTCTGCTTGCTCCTGTCCTCCCTTGGAGCTGCTTTCGGGCTCTCTGGGGCCTGACACCTGTTGTGCAAGATGGGCCTTACACACTCCTTAAAAGCTAGTTCTACCCTGAAGCAGTACCGTGAACAGGCTAGTTCACTACCCAAGCCTGTGGTTCTCCTCTTTGAGAGTTCTGGCTGAACATTTTCAATCCGTTTTTTCCAGACTGAGGCCTTAGTAATTTACTTAACATCAATCACTGAAGAGTACACCTCACTGAATAGTGTACACTATACTTACAGACTTTAACCAATTGTGGAAGGTGACCTACATGTAGAAGCAAACTAAACAGATGATCCTTCCTGAGCAATTGCATTGGTACATCGAAGTGGACTGGTGCTGTAATGACACTATCTTTATAAATACTGTATTGCATTGTAATGATTCTAGCAAAATAGTGAGTTACACGACTAGAATTTTTGTCAGAAATATTTTTTGTAGAAATAAGAGATAATCTGCCATTATTTAGCAATGACATTATAAACTAAAGAGCACAGCACCCTTGTTCCTTCAGCCTTACTTAAACAGATCACAGTCAGTATTAACACAACTGCAAACAGTAACAGGAATAAGAACTCATACAGACTGGGAAAGAACTGATGTATTAAAACATATCTGAAAAGTAGAGGAGCCTGAGAACACCGTATTTTGGTTTTGCCAATTCTTTATCAGCAATTTTATGGCATGGGGTATATTCCAGGAATATAGAAGTTATTGTGATCTTTAAGAAGAAAGGAAACAGATGTAAGGGAATTATAAATGTTCGATTTAATTCAAGTCATTTCAGCAACATGTGAACAAATTACTCTTCCTTCTCCAAGTCAGTAGAATAATGGCTACGTAACAGTCAAGGATCTGCCAAGAATAAATTGTGTCTGATAGGGATATTGGAAAATAAAAAAAAGACCATTTTTCTTTCCAGTATCAGGTATTAGGGTGGTACACATAATTTATCTTGACTTGAACAACTGTAGCAGATGTTAAATAAAAGCTAGGAGAATGCAGTCTAAATAAAACCACTGTAAGACAGAGGGAAATTGTACTCAAAAGAGTAATCAATTGTTCCCTGTCAGACTGAAACGAAGTATTAGATTAGATTCCAAAAAGTAAGTAAAGGCCAGCACCATGCAACATGTTCATAAATTATTTACAATAATTAGAGAGTATGTTTATTAAATTTGCAGATGACATCTGGCTGGAAAATGCTGCAAACTTGTTGGAGGACAGGGTTAACACACAGAGCAAAGTTAGAGAAATGCCTTAAGGGGGAAAAAGCCTGCCAGACATCAAGGTCTGACACTTGGGTAGGAATAAACAATATGGGATGGGAAAAAGCAGGCTAACTTAGAGTACTAAGATCAGGTCTGATAAATAGCAGACAAAGAAGGGTGGAAGAGAGAAAGGAGAAATTATGATTGCAATCTGAACACATTAACAGTATCAAGATGTGATGGCAAAAAGTCATACTAAGATGTGAAACCATGAAAAGAGATTGCAAAGTGGATGGAAAAAAAGTAATCTTACTGCTGCTGCTCCTGGTTTTTGTAAAACTGTAGTCTGACTGTCACATCTAGTTTTTCTAGACAGATCTAGTCCATTTAGTGAGAGTTCAGGAAAGAGCAAGAAAAATGATGAACACATTACAGACAAGGGAAGACTGCAGGAGCTGGGGTTGTCTTAATATACTGAAGAAAAGACTAAGGGGAGTTTCAGACAACTTGCTTTGCAAATATAAAGGTTACCTGCCATAAGTAAGAACAGTTCTCCACATTAGCGGTGGTCATGGAACAGTGGACATAACATTCCTCATAGGAATTTCCTTTGGATATTAGGGCTTTCTAACAGGAGACACAGTTAGAAGCTGGTTAGTTTGCCTAAAACTGTTGTGAAACCTACTTCTTTTATTTATTTTTTTAAAGAAATGAGTTAGACAACAACTGTCAGAAGTGATTTACATATAGCTGACTGTGTGAGCCGACACAGGCAGGACACAGGGACAACCACAGAACCACGGCTGAAATGCAGAGAGTAAATGTATTTTCATTACCTCGCGACCCGGGGGCTCTCCTGCGGCAGCACGTGGGCAGAGGCACGCACGTGGGGACACGGGCACCACAGAGCTCAGTCCTTGCTCGCCAGAAAATGCAGAAGAAAGAAAAGATCTCAAACCTGCTGCTTTCGCCTGTATATATCACGGATTTTTGCAGGCATACTTCGCCACTGTGCTTTCATCTTCCCCACAGCAGGGCAGGAATCTCAAGGAGTAGTTTTACCATGATGTTTCCATGTAATAAATATTGCCATAGATAATTTTTAAGATTTGAGTATGCTACATAGAAAAGTAAATAATCAAAAATCCACAAAGTTATCTGGAAATAAACTTTGAAACACATCCTTAGCTCATACTGCAACACAGAAATGTAATGTTTACTTGCAACCAAAATAAAAAGACCCAAGCTTGCACAACTACTCATATCCTGGTCCTGATTTCTACATAATGTTCTTGCAACTAAACAAAAAGTTTAGCAGCAACAAAGTAATTGATTTTACAGCATCTTTTTTTTATATATATTTCCTTCAAAATCCAGAAGTGACTGTAATATAATGTTCTTATGTAAACTGATTTTAATGCCTATAAATAAAAAAAATGCTTCACATCTTCATGTGTATCAGTTCCATAAAGAATATTCCAGGACATATTTTATATTGAAGTCAGTAAGACAGAACATTATAATAAAACAAATCAGCTGGCAAATACATACAGTACTACAGACTAAGAATTAAAATCCCTTCATCCATCATCACAACAGTGAAGTGCAATTTATGATGACACGAAGTTTAGTACCTGAACCAGAAAAAAAAAAAATAGTAACTATAAAATCATTTATCTTTATTTAATAAAATCCTTTGATATACGTACTGCTCCAAGAAATGGAGAAACAAACATTCCCAGATTTTCTATCAGGCCAAATGGGAACATTTAGCAAAGGTTTTCTTCTTCACTTGCCTGAAGTAAGTTAGGGTAAATGTCGGACATACATTTTGAAATTATGTATTGCAATATACCAATATTGTATTTCTGATTATATTAAACAGTAGCACCATCTACTGGTCCAGAAGATCCTTTCAAACTTTAGAAAAAGCTGTGGAGAGCGATCCCGCCAAAATGATGCAAAACGCTACTGAGAGTAACGCGTAGTTTTTCAGTCCCTGAATAGGCAAAGGGAGAGAAAAAGGAAAACATTATGTTGGCATAATAGATACCGCTTCATAAAAAAAGTAAAATAAAGAACTAGGGTTTCATTTTATGACAAAATTAATAAATCCATTACATAAAATGGCAAATTTAATTTCATATAATATTTGTAACATCTGCTGTTCAAAACAGTTTAACACAAGTAATCTATGATGACATACACTTAGTAAAATACTCACAAAATTAATTCAGCAATTTTAAAGAGTATCTTTAAAGGCCTTTGTCTATTTTCAGATTATTTTTAAGCAGTAAATTTATGCAGAGACTATTCTAAAATGTATGAAAAGGATGAAAGATTTGATGAGTCACAAAGATTGTGATAATACACATGATGGTCTTCTAGTGTAATGCAACATTAATCTGCAGTGGGAGAGAGAACTTCTACTTTATGACCCCTGTATGCCTAATGCATTTTACACAGTCACCAAAAAGATTGGGAAATATGATCTCTAATGGCAAATGAGTTACCTACAGATCCTGGACAGATTAGCTAAGGGAACCTGAGGATTACACTGCTAGCGTTCAATACTTCATATTCCACTGGAAAAATAATTTCTGCCATATATATTAACATGCAGTAAATTAGCCTGTTCTAGGTAACCACTGACACATCAGTTTAGCATCTCTACATTACACTGTAATTAGCAAGGCCAACTAACCACTGTCTCATTTTTCGGTCCTCTGGTGAACCTGACCTTAGACGTGTAATCTACTTGTCTGTGGGATTATTAAAAGAACTGCTCATTCCCCTGTCCCCACCGAAAGAACTGGCTCAAATAAAGACCGTTTTCTGGACGTACTTGGCATCCTGTCTCCTGGCCCTGCTACAGTCTTCATTTGCTGCTGCTCATACAGTTATGGAATTCAAATTTTCATTACTGTAAAAATTGTTCACAGTTCATCTTCCTTGGAAAAACTTAGTATTGCATGATATGACTTGCAGCTTTATAATGCAATACTTGTAAGGAGAAGAAATCTAAGAGACACAGCTGTATACCAAGTTATGCTATTCCTAAAGCTAAAGACAAGCAAGAGAGACTAGATAAGAGACCCAACAAGATTACCTTGATTTCTTTAAATACAAGGACTCCCCACATTGCAGCAACAAGGCCAGGACCCTAAAGAGTAAGATTAATTTGTACGTTACAGCATTTCATTAAAATGTACTGTCATCTCATTATTGTTCTCATGGTGGTTGAATTTTGTCCAGATAACAAATTTAGGCCTTTCCATTCTGTATAATTACAGCACTCATGGCAAAAGCATAAACATCACTGAAATCTTTACGAATAAAATCTTCAAGAAAAGGATAAAGAGGCAAGAAACATTTTTCAGAGAAGGCACAATTTCTTTCTAAATTTCACTATGGAGTCTGCACTGGCTGTTACACGTACGTTCTTTAGTAAGCTCCAAGTAATACGCCTCACTTTAGTCCAAACTGCAGCCCACAATGTTACCATGTTTCAGAGGACTGTTCAGTTTTATTGGCAGCTACCATGGATATTCCTAACATTTCCTTTATCAGCATGACTAACTAGTTGGACAAAGCTTGATTTTATCACTCAGTATGATATCAAGAGACTGGAACATAAATGTATTTCCTGTATAGCAGGCATCTGGACAAAGCACAAAGCCAGCCAGATAGACAGGTCAGGAAAAATACTAATTATCTGTGTTGTTCTACAGATTTCCTAGCTGAAAGCAAACAGTGAGACACAACAGTAATTCTCAGGCATTCCTGGTACAGTTTTTCTCCTGTGGGAGCAATGATCTGAATTTTTATGACTGACAAGAAAATATTATCTGAATATGAAGCAAAAACTGGCGCTGTTAATGCATCCCATCAGAGCTGCTCTCAGAAACACTTGACAGATGTTTGGACAGTGATCTTCCTCTCTCCATCTTCAGCACAGCTGATAGGACACAGATTTAGGCCAGCAGGAAACAGTGCCTCATGTTGATTGTTTTTGTCGGTGCTGTTTCCTAGTGAAATTGCCAACTATTATTTCAGTAATAGCTAAGGTGTTATTTCACTTTCTAGATAACGTATGCTTCAAGAGAAATGCATTTTGAAAATGAAATAAATTGTCAAAAGGATGTAATGAATAGCTGTCTGAAATTCTCTCTAGGATGAAGTAAAGCAGCAATTCTGAACCTGTGGTCCAGATAAGCAGTTTCTCATCAGTGCTGTCCTTAAATTTTTCATTTCATGTTTTTATATCCTTGCCCTTCAGGCATACTGATAACCAAGTCACTAAAACTGCTTTCCATTAATCCTTCAATTCCTAATTAGAATGATCCCAAGTCTTTTTTGATTACATACTGCAGAGTTTATTCTGTTTTACTGCAACTTGAGGCAAACTTTAATCCCTATTAACGTCGTTTCATTAGTTTGCTTCCAAAATACAGCTGTTCAGTAAAACTTTGTTTTTGATATTTATGAACTCTCATTTGCCAGAAGTTATGCACCTTTACATCACCATCTAGCAGATTGGAAAGAGAGAAAGATAAAGTTTATTTTCATCTAGTGATGGCATTTATGCAGCTTCTGGAAATTAACAGTGTTTTAAAGGTACAGTATCATAAGCAGGAATAAAACAGACAAAATGGGCCAACCTATCTTCCCCTAATTTGCATAAGAACATTATTTTTGAGCAATACATAACCTGTTCTGTTTGTTCAAGAACTATGAAAAGAAAAATATCTGACAAAAAAAAATGACAGCTAGAGGACAAAAATCACAAATGAAAACATCCAGAACAAAATGTACTCGTTGGGATGAAAGCATAAGATGTTTTTTCTTCTAATCTCTTTAGTTTACTCTTTAATATTGTTATAGTTCTGGTTACAGAGCTTTGGCTTTTACATAACCTAAAGACTCACACTTTCAATTCTTCTGGTTTTTTTTGCTTGACATTGACCAAGATGGTGCTTATCAGTCATTTACGTTCCTAAAAAAACAAAGGCTAGCACAGACAAGCAGAATAGGTAATGTATACTCTTGATTAAAATGTGCTACACACGTCATGATTTCAACTTTGTCCTATAAATGAGAGGGAAAAAAACCCCTTCACTTTTAATTCCAGTCAAAGATTTTATTTTTTATATACTTACTCCAGTAATTATTGGAAAGCTGACCACCGCACTGAGATAGTGATTGGCTATGAACCAGCAGCAATTGGCTATTGCCCAAAGCACACCAGAAACAAACCCTAGAAAAATAAATCCCAAAAACATGCACAGCAAGGCACAGACAGCAATTTGTGGAACATTTATATTTATGGCACAATACAGAACCTGTATGAATGTAAATTAGTATGTTAACTACTTTAACAAGAAGGCTCTGATAAGCTAAACCAAGGGACTCAAGGGATAAAATCAGCTACTACAACTGAAGTAGGAAATTAAAGTTCACAATTTTCTGGGTAATATGCTCTCCACTATGGCAGAGTCAGTTTTTGACAATCCATCATATGCAATGTCATTTTGTTCTAGTTTCAGATTAAACCAAAATTTATAACTGTTTCTTGGCCTTAATTAATTAACCTAATAGAAGTTATCTTTCAAAAAGACAAAAAGTCAAATGAAGAGAACTGAAAGGTGAACTACATTTCCAATACATACTTTGAACTAATCACTGCAAAATGGTCAGAAGTAGTAACTGAAAATAATCTCTAATTTAAAAAACAGTCATACCTGGCAATATGGCTTGGGGATAAACATTAGGTTTATTTTTCCTGACTGCACAGTAGATCAAAAAGTAGATGGTACTTGTAAGAAATATTCCACTGAAGTGTGCATAAACATAATCTAAATCTGAAAGAGAAATTACAAAATCGTATTAATCTATAACATCAGTTATTAACTAAATTTCACTGATAGCATTCATATAGACAAAAACATGTAAGGTGTTACTGCTAACAACTCAAATTCAGTTGTGATTGCGATGAACACAGCTGCCAGTCTGACTGTGAATGGATTTGGTCAATCACACGTATATTAAACATGAATTAACTACTGTGTTGATCCTAGCATTTATTACAGGCTTTTATGCATTTCTGTGAGTTGTTATTTTTGGAACTCTATTAGTCGAACTAATGAATTAATTTATTAAAGTCTTCAGAAAATCCTCAGGTGAGGCTACAAAACTGGGGTGGGGATTTAACATAATTATATCCTCTCCTGACCATATACATTTGTGTTCCTGTATATAGACTTGTTTTTTTTCTGTACATTTAAGGACAACTGTACATACTGTATAAGCAAAACATGACCCAGTTTTGTCCTTTTTTAATCTTGAAGAATGTATCACAGTTTTTTATGAATATAATCATTAACAGTAATAAATCCTTTATGGAATTCATATGTGCTAAAGACAGTATCTCCAACATGGTAAAGCAGAAGCATGTAGCAAGGTGATCATTCATTCCTTTGGAGTTGTAAATTCTCAACAGGAAAGACAACTATAGTAGTAACATCTGTTTTGTCTAGCTGGGGAATATAGAATTTGCAATATTAAAGAAAAATTTTATGTGACAAACAATTTCTTAATGGCAACATTATGCGGTCTCAGCAATATGTTTCTCTTAAGCTGCTGCTGGTACTACCTGATAGACTATACACTAAATATTAAGGAAAATATGTCTGAGGAAATGTTGTTTGAAATTGGTGATTAGGCTTATGTTAAAAGGTTTCAATTTCAAAAACTACAAGATTTTAATTACTTATGCTGTTATGTATCTCTTCTACTCATCAGTTACGATCAACCTTCTCTTCCTTTACTGGTGTACTAATTTGGCAATTGGTACACGTTGTGCCCTTTTTTAACCTCCTGTTCCAGACATACAAACTCTGTATTTTGAGAGTGATAGTACTTAATGGCTTCTGAAGCATAGTCACGAATTAAGTATGGTATTGTCTGGGCTGTTTCTCACTGTTCTTTTGATGGTGTAATTCACCTCTGAGAAAAAGGGAGTGCTAATACTTTGATTACAACAACATATAACAAAGAGCAGAACTGGTAAGTTGTCACAGCATATTTTCAGGCGTATCATGAACATCACTCTGTGCCTTTACAAAAGCAGGAAAACACAATATACTGATGAAATAAAGTAGACATGATCTATGAGCCTTTACCAAATTGGCTTGCTCCTGTGTATAGAGTTTCATTTCTTCTTCCATGGTCCTTGATATAAAGTACTGGTACAAAACTGGAACCGTAGAATATTCCAGCTACTACAGCCAGGCTACATCCTCTTTAAAAAGAGCAAAAATCAGAAAAAATAGCCTACTGTTAACAAGAGAAGTAGATGATACCCTTAACACTAGTCCAATATTGCATTTAAAGACCGTGTATCATAGGAAAATTGCTAGTAACACTATAAAGATAATACATTTCAGCACATTTTTATTTTCTCATGTAGAAATGGTTCAACACAGTGACATAGTTTTCCTATTCTTTGTGGCTGACACAGACAATTCCTGCCCCAAGAGCCTGCAGTCTAGATTAACAACAAGAAAAATCAACTAAGATCTCCTAAAAGCAGAGCTAGGAGAAAACAAACAAAAATATAATAAAAACGTTCCCACCCTCAATTTCACTGTTGCAGTCTATGTATTTTTTTATAACTATTCCCAGATTCATTGCTTCTTTAGTCCCTACCTCCAGATAGCTGTGTTCTTGGCTGTCTCAACACTGACCCCTTGCTCCCTGCTGCTTCCACTTTGGGGTGCTTCTGCTGTCTCCTTACGATACCACAATGTCTCCTCTAGCTGTATTCACCTGAAAAACACACCTGGAAGTGTGCTATTAGCATAAATTCCTTCTATGCTGGCATGCTAATCAACCAGGTGATAAAAGACAGCTCTGTAATAACTTAGTTGCTATTTACTTTGCTAAATGTTGTTTTTTTTTGTAGGGGTAATTAATATGTAATTGGTCAGGTAAAGCACACTCAACAGTGCAAAGCAAATCATCTGATTAGTTGTGCAGCTATTCATATATATAGATACATACACTACACTAGTCCTTTAAAAACTTATCAGTGCATATCTGCACTAGGAAAACCACAGGACACAAATTCTGCCTGCGCCAGTAAAAGAACTGTTAACAACTTACATGAGTCTCTTTTTTGCTGGAGAAAGTCTGTTTACCCATGAGTCATCAGAGGTACCTTCAGAAACATTAACAGACTGCAAAAAAAACAAGTTTTCACACAAGTATAGTTTATTTTAGTTTGATTAAAAAAAAAAAAAAATCTCAAATGTTGTATTAGAACAGTTTTGCTCTAGAAAATAAAATGTAAATGGAAGGAGAAATAAAAGGAATTTACATAATTATTCTGAAGAAAGTTTTTTTTGTTTGTTTTGGGTTTTTTTTGTTTGTTTTTAAATAAAACAAACTAATAATTGGATTGACCTACCTTGAAGTTTACAAGTACAAGTTTGCATATAGACTTTGGGTTTACCACATAATAGAGGACTCACTAGCATTTTTTTTAACCTGCATGCAGGTAGATCTGACTTTCAGATCTTGTCCTTCCTTAAATTTGACAAATGATTTAATCTATAGACTTTATTTATGACGTGGTTTTGCCTTTTGTTGACAGCTCTGGTGTTACTATCAGAATATTAGGACTATGGGCAAACAGAGAAATTAAGACCCCTGTCTGCAACATAAAGAAATTGCAACATCCCTTTATTCTAATCCTGCAACCAGATTGTCTTCTGTGATTTGGTCTCGTAGACAGGAGCTGCTAGTGAGCATTGAGTACAGTTAAAGAGCTCTGCAGGGCTCTCTGTTCAGGCAGCAACAGAGCACTGACCTACAAAAGTAAGGTGCAGTGGTAGGAACCCATTGTTCCCCACATTTTGTTGCATTCTTCGGGCTCCCCAAGGAGCAACAGCCAATCTGGCACCCCTCACTGACCTCCAACCCACACCACAGCTGATGATGAGAATCAGCAGCTCTTAACAGTCCCCTGGCTCTGATGGGTAAGAGTTATACACCGTTGCCTTTCACCTAATCACCCTCCTAATTTTACAGTGAAGTTTAAATTAAAATTTCTTCCTCTTCTCAGATAGGAAAGTAAAACACTCTGTCTTTTGTATAACCTCTGTCATAATGAAAAAGGACATCTAAACCATTTAAAGCTGACAATAGAGAAAGAACACTTGGGAAAACCTTTTCTGCTGCAAATATTCAACTGGATATACAAGATGCACAAATTAAACACAATCAGTACATATTTATGCAGTTTGACGTAGTCTACCATAAATGCTCACTAATCTGGTTAACATTAAGTAAACTTTTGTTTGTAAATGGATATATAATTTCACTGCTGTAAAATAACAACTGTAGAGTACTTACACTTTCTCTCAGTAAAGGCGTGCTTTCTAATGAAGCTGAAGAACTCTGGACTTCAGTTTTTATAAAAAGAAATATGACAGCACTCAGAAGAAAAAAATACACTAATGAATACCATGTCAGCTCATAAGGACGCAACATTTAGTGTCCAGAGACAAAAGTTATTTGGAGGCAGATTAGTCTATTTTCATTACAGCCCTAGAGTCACTTCAATGTATTTTAAAAATGCAATTGCTTTTAACGGTTTTAACAAACACCTTAAATGAAAGTAAGTAAATAAATTAGTCTTTGTATCACTTTATACATCTCTCTTCTGTGTAAAGGGATTGAAATGTCTCCTTTTTACAGTGTGTAGTTAACCACGTTAACAACAGCTGCTTCAGTTAACAGTGCTCTTTTGTACTAAACCACACATGCACTGGAACATCTGCATGAAAATTCTATATGGAACAGCTTAAATCTGCACAGAATTCACTCTGTGCTCAAGGAGAAAAGTTAGTTTTTAGTCTTTAGTCTCCTATCACATTGTAAGTGAGGGAATACTGCTTCTACAGGGCCTCATGTGTATGTGGAAGGAGAAGGGGTATTGCTGAGTGGTGGTCCAGTGCACTAAGTGAATAAAATGAAGAAGGAAGGGTAACGTTACTACTTGTACTCCCAGCTCCCAGAGATCAAGTAAACATGCGTAAGCAGAACTGGCAGGGTCCATTTTTTATTTTTATGAAAGTCACTTTAATGATTTAGGAATTCCTTCTCAAAACTGTAAACAGAATTTCTCCATTTGAAGAATGATTTGTCTCCTACTGATGGAATAAGGATAGATACAAAAGGATGTCAGCTTCCTTCAGAGGGAACAGACAAACATATACAGGTTCCACACAGGAGGCTAAAATGAAATACATGCTTCTCAGCTATGCAAAGAAACCTACACAGGCTTTGTGCAGCTTGCCAGGAAAACATGTTTGGTCATGATCTTTTTCCTTGTTGATCAGTTCTGCATGATATCTCAGAAACAGGCAGGAAGCAGGTGATGAGCTGAATGAATTCATCAGGCAGAAATAGCAATACTGCTACTATTTTGTAGGTACCTCACAAAATAATATGATACATATAATGGTAATGGGTAAAAAGCTATGGACACTTAGGAAAGAGGAAGAGTGGAAATAAAATTCATGAATCTAAGGCAGCAGTTCTCTCCTAGCAATCAAGCACTGCTTCATCATCTCCATGTTCTTAATACCCTTCTTTCCCTAAAGGCATTCCGTGCATCTGCTGCTTAGCACGCTTACGGCAAACCCACCGCCCCTGGGATTTAGGGCCACTGTTATGTTCCTAGAAAGACCTTCCTGGCCACCAAGATGGAAAGCAAGAACACTGCTACGTAACAAAGACCCTCTTTCCTCTGTGTTTGGATCAAAATGTGCACTCATACAAATAATAAACAAAAAATAAGAGTACAAGTCCTTCTGAAGATCCCAAAGGAAGCCACTCTTTGGGAGTTGTAAGTGTGGCTTAAGAGTTACAAGACAGGGAGCTGTTAAGGACAAGAGATAATGTGGAACCTCTGGCTTTTCATGTATCCCAAAGGATCTGGGAAGGGGTCCTGTGGCACATTCTACAGTTAAGAGGATGCATCTGTAGCCCTGAGTGAGTGAAGTCAGATCAGAAACCTCAGAGGTTTTCTCACCAAGATTCTTCTAGTCAGTTTTTCCTCTCTCACAGAATTTGGGGAAAGTGAATCATTAGTTAGGGAGACAATCAGTGCATGACTGCTTTGCACTGAACATGCCTACCAGCATAAAAATATATTTATGTGTTTATGAATAACCATTTCACCACTGTACTGGATATCACATGTTTCTATTCTGAAATACAACACTGACCAGCTAGGCATGGATAGCTCATGAATTCTGCAGTAAATCAATTTGCAAAAAATACTTCAATACATTTGCCCTCTAGTTAAATTGTCCCTGTGGTTATTAAATGCATATTTTACAGTACAGAAATTTATTATAAGAATAAATTTTTACCTTAACAGTGAAAGTCCAGCTCCAATATAATTTAAGATTGGTCTTGATACCTCTTCTGGGTCAATTCCAAACCAACCAAACCTGGAATATTTAAGCAGTTTCACTTAGGTGCACTGACTGAATACAAGTAGTTAAATTATGACCCAGTCTTGGAAACCTTTACTCATGTAAATAATTCTGCTTATTTACATTCCCAGTATTGGCTTGCAAAAAGCTACATCAACTTTACAAAAATAATCTTTAATCTAATTTAATTTACATTGGTTTTTTTAAATCTAAAAATTTAAGTTAATTTGAATTATTTTATCAGCCCATGCTGTAGAAGAAAAAATACAGTGTACTAGTTTTACATTAACAAATACATTATTTATTCACTCAATTATGTTAATGAACATCACTGAGCATTCTTCCTATTCAGACAGAGGAAACACAGATAAAATAATTAACCTGAGTACCTTCCACAGAGAGGGAAAAAGATCTTACACATATAAATCCTCTTTATTGGTGATAAGTGATTTCACTGCAGTTATTGATGAATAACTGGCAACATTAATTATGTGTGACTTAAGACTTAAACATACTCACCTTGAACTTGCCCAACCTGTCAGCAAATTGAAAGAAGCCCATATCAAAAGACCAAGAGCTAAGCCAATAGTTTTAACAATAGGAACAACTGTAACATTTCCTGAAATACAAAAAACAAAATTAAAATTCAGTTAAAAACCAGACTGTGATCTTGTATATTTTTGCTCTGGGTTCTGCGACTGTTCAGAAGGCAAAGAAATTTAGGCAACTACAAGGTGGGAGGAAATAGTGTTTTTAAAAAATAAATACATTAAACAAAGACTTTTCCTCAATACCATTTTTAAAGCTATTCTTGGTCCAAGTTTGCTGCTTATAAAATAAGCATAATAACATTTACTATAAGGGTACAGCTTCATTAACGCCAAGACTTTAAAAAGCCAAATAACTACAAGTAACTACCACTTTATATATGTTAAAGTTTTTATCATTATTTTTTAATGAAAAGTTAGGATTATTTTGTGTTTCAAGATATAGAATCTCTATATCCTTACCTGTAGCCCACATGAAACCCCCAACCATAGCAAGAGGCCAAAATCGGGGGCAATTCTGGATTAAATTGACCACCAAAGAAACTATCCATATGGAGGCACAGAGAACCCATTGGAAGAACATACCTATAGAAAAATCAAATGCACAGTAGAGAACTTGTAGAACACTGCATGTGTAAATCTCTTAACATACTGTGTTTTAGATAAAATACCACAGAAAAAATTGAAAGGTGGCCACCTCCTTTGTGAATTACATGGAACCATATTATAATATAGTCAAAAGATGAATTTTAGGGTGTGGCGTTATATCAATGTTGACCTTTTCCTTACCATGCACTCTTTATATGCAGCTGCAAGAGATGTTTTGCTAGACAAAGTTTACACAAGCCCTGATTCTCAAACACATGAAAATTGTGACAGGCTTCTGACACAGAGGATATTCAGTTACTGCAAACTTCTCTCATCACCCCAGTAGCAGCTAACCCAGAAGACAGGACAAAACTCCTTCAAAGCTCAGGGCTCAGTCTTTTCCACTAATCCAGGATATTAAGGACAATAAAAACTTTGGACAGGTCTCTTCTACCACTGTAGATTCTCTAAGGGTCAACTAGGGAGACCAGTTAACTGTTATGCCAGCTGAGCTAAGACTTTGCTTTAAAAGTCTAGCCTTGTCTTGTTGGGACCATATTTGGCACAAGGAAGAGAGAGAGGTTATTTCCAGACTGTAATGCAGATACTATTATTGAAGTAACGCAATGGCAGATTTATTCATCTAGGGATCTGGTAATTGACTGTGCTTTATATAAACATGCAAATACAACACGTATACAGTAAAGTGATAAAATTCCAAGTAAGTAATAGAAGCGATTGTTTCCTCTCACCAAGTCACCAGATAAAAGTATTACAATTTACATTTTTGATTGGTTTTATGTTAGGCCCACTACTGAAAGGCAATACTCTAAAGTCCAACTTTTACACTGTAAGTAACATTGTATGTATTTGAGAATCCCCACAAAGGTAGAAGAATGAACATTTCACTTTCCATTGTGAAACGCTCATGAAATGCACATCATCACTGATAAAGTGCACAACAACACATAAAGAGGCTCTTCTAAAGATTTGCCACATTCTGAGCCAATACATAATTGCTTTATACCCTAAATATAGCAAAGAAAATTCAACATGCTCTATGGATTAAGACTGTCATGGTATTTATAACTCTAGCTATTGAAACTCTCATATTTGCTGGTAAAATATTATTCCTATTTGCAAAAACACCAAAACCAACAAAAGAAAATAAGTTTACCGTCACCAGTATCAAATTTCTTAACGGGCACAAAGTTTGTCCCAAATAGAAGGACTGCTACTGTAGAAGAGGTAAAGCCAATAGCTAGATCTGTTCCATTGCTGATGTTAAAGGCACTGTAAGCTTTCCCGATGTTCATCTTTGCTCTGAAAGTGCCTTGCTGTGGAGTTGTTTTGCTGCAGGTCCTGACAGATTCTGAAATCAGAGTGGAATTAAACATGTGGAGTATTAAATAATCCCAACCTAGTTCAGATATCTGAAATTTAAAGGAGCCTACTTAGCAATCTCTCAAAAGCTGAAAAGAACTGCAAAGTATACTGTAAAATCCCATGAAAAGCTGCCATAAAATGTGAATGAAGTAACTTAAGAACAAATGCGCGTGCGCGTGCACACACATAATCACTATTTTGCATTTCATACTCAGTTTCACATAAAAGCATGTTTGAAAACATACAACGTGAACGTAGAGATGCTCAAAGGACTTGAATCTGAGACCTGTGGGTAGCCCTGACACTTCAGGGAGATGCTCTATCAGAATATTCCTTATTCCTGTAGCCAAAGGGGGGTCATCCTGGGCTGTATAAAAAAGCAGGGGTTAGACAAAATCCTAATTGGCAGAGGCTACATCAGTTTGCAGCCCCGCTGCCTAGGAGTCAGGAACAGGCACAGAGATTCTATAGATGCCACAGTGGGATCAATACAGCCACCCGCAGGGATTGCTCTAGCTGATACAGAACATGAATTCATTTTTTCTGTGGGGAACAAAGGGATAAACTGCCTCTAAAGATTCTTTGTTCTTTCCACATAGCTATAATAAGAAAGGCAAGATTTTTTTAATCCTATAATACTTTTTTTTTTTTTTTTTTTTTTTTAAGTGAGATTCATTCTGAGGTTACACTTGGCAGAAATACCACATATATACTTTTGATATGGACAGAAAAGGTGGCTCTGAGGACAACTATAACAACATGTTCTTTGCATACATAATCTTAACACCACACTTAAAATACTATGTGTAAGAAAAGCATTTGGAAATCTAACTTCAAATGGCAATAGGATACTTAATATGCTGTGAGTATAAAGGGGCACATTTATGGAGATATGCATGCAATCCTGTTGCTGAAGTAATGCTATTTATACTGAATCAAATGACATCCTAATGCCGTTTGACACTCTCCAGTGTAGGTGGACTAGCTACTGCCAGGAGGGAAAAAGCTGAAACAGGATGGTAGAAATATTGCCAAGTCTTACAAGGGGTGCTGTGACTACACTCCACACACAAAAGGAAGAGCTGAGCTGCTGCACATTCTTTCATCTTATTTTATCCTCCAGTCTTACCTTCTCCTTAGGACGCTGAGAACTGCACCTGCTGAGGTTGTGCTTTTATCTACAGCTTCAGCAGGGCCATCAGTGTCAAGTGAAATTAATTATTTGCATTATCAGGTGAAAAGTTTAATCCCACAACTAATATAATAATTTAGTTACAATCATTTTCCCTCTCAAAAGATGTCAGTATATTTTTAACTTGAATACTTAAGAAAAACACAGATGACATTTAGAAGACTCATCATGAATGCACAACGGCCCAGGCATTTTCATTTATCTTACTATCTTTTCCTCCTTCCCTCTTTGTCTTTCTTGACCACTTAGAGGATAAGCTTCTGCAGGAAGTTCTCACTGTATTTAAGACTCTTCTATAAAATATGTTTTACCTGGGGCCTCTAGACACTGATCAGTACAAATAATAATGCTGGGATTTCTTCAAAGACTGACTTCACAGGCTAAGGAACACTGTGACACCACAAGAATAGACTAAGATGGATAAAGGCTTACGTCAGGTATCTTCATTCTATCAACCTTGACTCACTGAGTGATTACATTTAATTCATTTAGTGGGCAAGTAAGGCACAAGAGATGGCTTTTGCTCAGGAAGAGCTTCATGCTGTTAAGAACATAGAAGTAAAACTGATCACACTGCACCTCTGTGAATGCAGGACTCAGTACTTTAGCCTTTAAATAAATAAGTCATTATGCAGGTAAAATACTAAGAACCTTTCAAATTTAAATATCAGCCTTCTTGATTTTGTTAAAATACAGAGAAATATTACTTTAAAAATATTTCAATTTTCTATCTACTAAGATAAAATCTCCATGCTATGGGGCAATATACTTTTCTGCTTGCTTTTTATCTTCCAAAAATCTCTATATTATGCACATTGAAGTCTTGCACAACTGGAGAACTGGAATCATGCCACCAAAAATGGCAAAGAAACACAACTTCCAATTAATCGAGGAAGAGCATGCTTCATTCAGACTGCCTAAAACTCTGTAACTTCCCAATGTTTTGAGCATTTAGCTCCAAATTTGGCTAAATATCAGACCCAACTTTCAACTCAATTTAAAGCCTTCAAGAGAAAGCTCAACCAGACAGCACCTGGAACAACCTGCTCTAACTTCGATAACAGTGCTGTTTTAAGCAGGGAGTTGATCTAAATGACCTCCAGAGGTCCCTTCCAAGCTAAATTATTCTATGATTGTATGATCCAATGTCAAGAGCAAATAATGACCTGGCACACAGCATTAAGTTGACTACACTTTTTTGTACGTACTATGCACATCAGAACTAGAAGCCTATTCTCTTTTCTAAAATCCTGTTTTTGCTAGATGGACTTGCAGCATACGTGCCTCCAAAGGTTTATTGATATCAAATGCCAAACCAGAAGCACTTGCTGAAACTCATAAGATATTAGAGCATAGTGACTGTATCTGAAACTTAGAAACAAGTGGAATTGTTGTTGTTACTGAAGGTTTTTCTTCACTAAGTAGCCCTTACTGAAGGGCACTTCAGGGTTCCCAAGCTGCAGAGGAAATATAATGGAATTTTGTTGGTATACCTTGCCCCTATCCTACTAACTTCGCTGGTTTACGCACCAAAGGTTGTGCTTTGTATTTTCACTGTTTCCTCAGAAATATGCCACCATTTTCCTCCTTTGCACAGAGACATGACAAATTATGCTTACTTAATGCAACAGCAACACTCTGAATATGCCACCATTTTCTTCCTTTGCATAGAGACATGACAAATTATGCTTAATGCAACAGCAACACATTGCTATGGTCTCCACACACAGGCATGAAATCAAGAAGACTGCCCTTTAAGAGTTTTCACCTCAAGGTAAATCTAAGCTATTGTCAAGAAACTGCTCTAATTGAATAGGTATTTTTAGAAGTTTCATGACACACTGCCCGTTCATTTGCATGTTCCACCTATTATCTATTTGCCATTAAGGGTAGATACTTTCATCCTTATTGTAGGAAACTCCTATCAGTCCCGAGGCGGCTCAGAGCGATGTCCTCAGGTGACACTGCAACCCCCGACTAGCTGGCTCAAGAAACGCTTCTTTGCTTCCCTAAGATGAACGCTTTCAAAAGATGTTCCTCGGGCAGTATTTTCCGTAAGCGGCACCACTCAACAAGGGAAAACGCGAAGCAGAGCTTTTGACACTGGTGGACGTCGCTCCTGCTGGGGCCAGCAGGGCCCGGGTCCCGCAGGGCGGGCAGGCCCAGGCTGCGAGCGGGACGCGCCCGCGGCCAGGCCAGGCCCAGCCCTCGGCCGCGGAAGGGAGCGGCAGCCGGCCGGCCAGGCCAACTGATCGGCGACGCACCCCGAGAGGAAACCGAGGCGCTCCCCCCCCTCCAGCCCGACACCTTCTTTCCCTCAGCGCCCCGTCCGCGGCTCTCGCCGCCGCCGCCGCCCGCGCCCCGCCGCGCTACCGCACACGCCTCCCCCGCCGCTCCGGCCTCCGGGCCTGCGCCGCCCGCTGCACCGCCCCCCGCCTCGGCCCGCCTCCTCCCCATCCGCTTCCCCGGCCGGGAGGCGGGTAGAGGCGAGCGGGCGGAGGCTGAGGGCGGGCTTCCATAGGCCCTTCCTCCGCCTTTTCCCTGCGGAGGCCGCGGAGCCGTTATGGCGGCGGCCTAGAGAAGCGGACTTTTTTTTTTTCCCGGGGCGCCGGCTGCCTATCTGGCGGGGAGAAACACTGTGAAAAAATCTTAAATTTAGGTACCCGTGGCGTGATAAAAGCGCTTTTGCCCCTCCCCTGTCTTAAACGGCAGCTGATGAGACAGTTTTTTAGTGGGAGGGCACCAGGCTGTTGCTGTTACCGTACCGCCCGTGGAGGAAAAGGCGCCCTGATTTTGGCAGCATGTGCCCAGGAACGCAGGCATGGTTCGAAGCCGGGACTTCTGCCAGAAGCAAAAGCGAGGCGTCCTTGCCTCCTCCACACCTGAGGCAAAAGCGTGGCCTCCCTGCCTGCTGGCGCTGCTGCAGGAAGATTTCCAGGCCCCGCAGCGACTGCCGAGCCAGCAGCAAGGCGGGCAACACACCTGATCAGCTCAGGGCATCCAGGCTCAGCAGCCAGCGCACCGCAGTTTGTTTTCTCCCAAAACACAAAAATCGCTGCTTTTTTTGCTCAGGGAAGCACCCACATTGTTCAATCACCAAAACTGAGTAGGAAATACTTACTTTGCATGATGTTGAGAAGCAATTCTTTGCAGATTTCCCTGTAAGGATTTGACCGAGACACTAGTTAAAGCACAGACTATTAGTCAGAATGTTTAGTCACAAAGCAAACATTTCTTTCTGTCCTCTTGGAGTACAGTTTCCAGATGGCGGCCCCAATCAATCTCCTTACAGCACGAGCCTTCTAAAGTAATGCTCTGTATTTTGTAAATCAAATCTGCATTATCCGTAATAAGGACATACAGCTTTCCTCCAGATAATAAGTTCTTAGTCTTACGGACTCGGTAAAGCTAGGAGTGCACCATTTATCAATCATTTTAACATAAATGTCTGTCCGTGTGACATTTAGAGAGATGAACTGCAGTACATCTCTATGGAAACCGTTTAGCTACAGTGCATCTGAGAGGAACAATGTCCCATAGGATAATCACAAATGTAGCCTGGAAAAAAATAAGTGCTTCTTATTCTAAAGACAATGCGAGTTTACATGTTGCATTATTTTATACAGAATAATATTAATAAAAATGTTAATCTTTTACATTGAGCTGCCTGCACATAGAGAGCAAGAGCACGCACAATAAGGAGCCTAGCCTGAAACTAAATCCTTTCAAGTGTCCAGGGATAGAGAAGGGTGTTGAGTTTTGACTTCAGAAGAATCTTGATATTGAACAAAACATTTTCCAAAACTCCTGCCCCTGATTTCATTTGGAAGAATGGATCTCAGAGGAGTCATCAGCAATCACTTCCAATTACTGTCTCTATGCCACTTGAACTAATACACACCTATTCCTCACTGTTTCGTCTGTGCTTCACTGTTTCTTCAAACCATGCTGGTTTTGGAGCACTGTTTTTCTCATTAACACTTGAAATGACACTGATGGTACGAATGAAACACCTCAAATATGGGCAGATTTTGATTCATTCATTTGTTCTGTTTGGTTTTATTGAAATCATACGTTGTTGGAGATGAAAAGTATATGGGAAAGGAAATCCATGAATGCAGTGTTTACTAAAATTGAAAATGGCAACGTTCATATTTCAAATTTCAGAGCCTTCAATGAATATAACAAGTGCCCACATAAAGAGCATCTTTTGTTGCAAAATGCTCTACAAACCAGCACAGACAATATTGTGTTCTTTTCTGAATCACAGAAACTTCCGCAGTTATCACTACAGTGGCAAGAACCAAACTGAGACATCTTGGAAAACTAAAAAAATAAGCATCTTTAAATCCCATGTCTCTTAAAACTGAAATGACTGAGTGGAGCAAGAAGGAAGGGTTAGATAAAGAAGTAGGAGATGCATTGCTTTAAAATACAAAACTGATACTTGTAAAAATTGACACCCCCATCCAGCATACTGGAAAGAAATTTATTAGCTGCTAGGTAGCTTTTTGTATTAATATTGTATCACTGTGTTGTTATGAATGGTTTTCTCTGTGTTTTTATTTAGTTCTCCAGGTATAGTATTCACTATCCCAAAAGGCTGTACTTAGTCTAGATTAAAGAATGAAGAGTCCCTACAAAAGAAGTTGTAAAAAAGGATTATGAAGAATAATTTCAGATGAGAAGGAAGCAGCTGTGCTTGGTAGGATTAAGAAGGTCGCAAAGGTGAAAGGCTATAGGAGATTGCATAGGTGAGGATAATTAATGGGTAAACTCCATGAACAGGAGGTTTTGAGAACTTTCTGGTGAATTGGTGAACTTTTGTTATTTCCTAAAAATGGGTTACTATCATCTTGCCATCTTCAGAGATTTGAAAATGGAGCAGAGCATTTAAGTAACTGGATGATGCTCTCTGAGCACGAGTCGAGACAGACTTTGGTCAGACAACTGGCGTTGTTCAGTCTGTTCTTTCAAAATACTGGTCTTGTATATTTTATGACCACAGAGGAAGGTACCCTTTCAGCTCAGTAATGCTCTTGAGTGCCCAGCTGCAGCTTTGGGTTAGTAATGATTCCAGAAAGAATATTACGGCACACCTGAACAAACATTTTCTTTGTCTTTCTTGAAACACAAAGAAACGTTTGTTTTCCAAACAAGTCCATAGCCATTCCAGCCTTAATTATTTTGTGAAATCTAGTAGGCACTGGAGCTGTACTACCTCAAGAGCTGAAACAAAGACTATCTTTTGATATGTTATCTTTTAAAGATCCAGAATTAGAAGCAAATATCTGCTAAATTTACAAGATATTGAATCCCGTTTAGTTGAATTCATATCATGATCCATCCAAAAGAAAGTAACAGTGCAACATGTAAAGAATGAGTTCTCCCTTCTGAACATGAAAAATAAGGGAAATATTGCTCTCATCACATTTAGAAAGCCTCAAAAAAACCTCAGCTGTCAACACTTTACACCAGATTTTGATTTCAAGGCAACAAATGAAATGAGGAGTGAAGAACAAGACTCCATATCCTGTTACAATTTCCTCCAGATAATCTTCAGAGATTTGCAGTAAAAAGATGATATTTTAAGAGAAAATTTTAATTTAAGAGAAATGTCATAGCAAAGGAAAACTGTTAGTTACTGGAATGGACTGTGTTTTGTCAGAGTTTGATTGTAATGGACAGGTTATGGTGCAGTACCCAGTCACCCTTATTTACTCCAGTTTTAGTCATATAACTTTGCTGATATTTTGCACTCAGTTTGCACTGGTATTAAATGGGATATAGGAGGCCATGCTCACTGTGAGCCATGTACAGTGTCTGTTGGTCAGCTGGTCTGCAAAGCTGGTATCTCTCGCTAAAGACCTTTTATCTTTCAGAGGGATATTCAAGCATCTAAGGCTGATCTAATAATGTCCATCTCTGGCAACAAGCAGCAATAGCCACATCTTTACTGGTTTTAATACTACACTTCTCTGGATCTTTTTGAATTAATCTTCCTTGTTTGAGATATGTCCCTTCAGTCAAATTTGAATTAAAAAAAAAGACAGATCAACTTCCATGGCCAGAGAGATTTCTTACAATCCCTATTCCTCCAAGAACTCATATTTGGAAAAAGCAGTTGATATGAAGGCTCTTTTCCTGGTAACAGGCACAGATGCTGAAATCTTAACTTTATATTACACATTTAGACAAAAAGTAAAGAGAAGTGATGGCCAGTGAAAAAAATCCACTCACAAAGTTTTATATATTCATATTGGACCCACCTGAAACATAAACCAACTCCTTAACCATCTATTCCCCTTAGTACTGATTATGGAGAAGAGATTATCTCCATTAACTTGAATTACAATGAACATACACATTTTATTAATTTGTACATAGACTAGGCAAGGCATCAGAAGTCAGAGCTTTGCCAGTGTCTTAATGGTTAACTCTGCACAAGCCCTTAATTTCTCTCTGTCTCAATTTTTCCATCTGTATAGTGACTATGCTATGCCTCGCTTTGCAAAGCACAAATGGGAAACACTCCTAGGCTGTTTAATAGCATGTTGATAGCATTTTAAAAGCCACTATCTGTTTTTCACTTCTCATTGCCAGAACTTATTATTCCCCAAGTTCTAAAATTCAGGGGTTCGGGGATTATTTTAAATTTAAAAATCAGAACAAAAAAACCCCAAGAAAACACAAATGCGGAAAATGGGAATTCAATAATTTCTTCAGTATATTTGCATGCAGGGCACTAGAGGGCCCTCAGGAGTTAGAAATGGATGGAATGCACTTTTGGAAGGCACATACTTCACAGGACTTTTCATTACAGAATTTAAAATAGAAGTTGCTGGGTTGTTTTTGTTTTGTTTTGTTTTGTTTTTGTTTTGTTTTGTTTTTTAATAATGTGAGGTTCGTATAAGTTTATAGCAGTTCATATGCAAACCACTTCTCAGTACAGTTAGCTTCCAAACAGTATTTAGCTTGCAATGAAATACCTAAATGTGAACCATACTTAAAACTGAAATATGTGCTAGAATACTTTGAGAACGTCAGCTTGTACTAAGTTACTTTTATTAACCTAAGGAGTTTACCAGAACGAAGGATGTGTCAAGCTGAATAGGTAAGAGATTTTGTATTTTTATAGCAATATGTATTCAATGTACACTTATTCTGTCTTTGTTTCTTTGAAAGGATATATAAGCCACTGTCATTTTATTTATAAAACTATAGCTAGATCCTATTTATGGCTTTACAGGGGTGAAGGATCCAAGGGTGAAGAATTAACCATCTTTCATCTTTAATGTGTTTATGAATTATATGAACTATGTTCATACTCAACTAGGGAAATTTGGCACTGCTAATAAGTTTTTATATTAGTGAATATGTGCATATTTAACTACTACAGTTAGTGGTTAATACTGTATAATTTACAACATTTTCATAACATGAGGTGTAGTGGAGACTTTGTTTCATAAGAAAAAGACGATAGTGATCTGGGTTTGACAAGCTTTTCTTCTAATGCTGGAATACAGCTAGCTGAGATTGCAAATTGAGCCTGTATTTCATGATTTTGGTGTTTTAATTTATAATGTAATGTGAAAGTGAAAGAAGTATCCTGACAAATTTCTAGATGCATACTGTCTCATCTAGAACTTCTATCTCTTAAAAATATAGAACCCCACATGCCATATGTGAGTTATGAAATTAAAGAGCACTATTTTCTTCTTGCAGTTTGCAAAGGAGATACTTCAGCTCTCTTAGACTACAAGTCAGTAAACTTTGCTTATGCAGCTGGCTCCATTCATTCTCTGAAGCCAATCATTTCCCCCCGGGTGGCTGATAAGAATTTAACAGTTTAAGAAGGTGGAGTGTCAGCATCCTTAGTGCTAAACACATTCCTAGGCGTATCAGTAGCCTCTGTCCATCACCCATGCTGGAAGCTATCTGGAAAAGGAGAAATAGAAATCAGGGAAGGGAAATCATGCATCATCATCCTGGCTGGAATGTACAGAAGACTTCATGCTGTTTTCATCATGTGGATTCACTGGAGAAATGATCACCTTTGATCAGCCAAGTAAAATCAAAAACTTGTTTATTTGTTGCCTGTGCCCACCATGGGTGCTGAGGCTCTGGACTTGCAGGCGCCCAAGGACAAGGAGGAATCTGCTAGTGGGCACCGCATGTGTGATCTACCTGGGATTCCTCGTCAGTCAGGTGGGTCATGTTTTACCCCATCACAAAGGAAGACACCAAAAGATCAGTTCCAGAAGTCTTCAAGATGCAGCTCAGACTCCTTTTCTGGGCATCCCACTGGATGGCACCCTGTCACCACCCAATTTCCAGGAACCCCAGCTTGGTAGCAATGGGACCTTGCTGCCACCTAATGTAGTTTATATCACCCTGCGATCCAAGCGCAGCAAGCCTGCCAATATCAGAGGCACGGTGAAGCCAAAGCGCAGGAAGAAACATGCAGCTCCTTTGTCCTACGGGCAGCACTTTCCAAAAGCCACTTTTATGGGCCAGGAAGAGGCCTTTGCCCAGCATCCAGGGAGGGCCGTGCATGCCACAGACACAATGAGAGCAGCAATGGCTCTGGAGGCGAGGAAGCACCAGCTGGATGAACGCAAGCATAAAGGAATGGCAATCGGGGAGAGGGGTCACTGGAGAGCTGGGGGAATTTCTGGAGCTATAAAGGCACAGCTCCAGCCAGAGGAAAGCAATATCAGGATTTACAGTGAGAGCTCTCCCTCTTGGCTGAGCAAAGACGACATCTTAAATATGCGTATGCTGGCAGATTCTCGGATAGAGAACATCCAAGAAGTACCTTCTCACAAAGGAGTCTTGGTAGTATTTGCAAGAGGTTCCAGCACCACAGGAAGTGCTTGTAATCAGGGACACTGTGGCATTGTCAAACGACCCCTTGACATGAGCGAGGTGTTTGCCTTTCATTTGGATAGGATCCTGGGGCTAAACAGGAGCTTACCTTCTGTAAGCAGGAGATCGGAGTTCTTCCAAGGTAACACATTCCTATGGTTTTCAGCTTGCAGGTGGGGTGCCGAGGTTTCCTTCCCCTTCCCACATTAACCGTGGGGCAGCAGCCACCACCTTTAACTCCTGTGAACCTGAGAACTAACCCCATCATTACAGGGAGATAAAGCTGGTATCTGTATAGACCTTCTGCAGTGCAGTTATCCTGTCCAAAGGGCACAGCAACCGAAGGTTTAGATCAGATACCATTGAGCTGCTGAGGACAGTAACAGTTTCCCTTCCACAAGAGTCTGGAATGAGAAAGAAGAGGGGGAGTCATCCGTAGATTGCATGACGTTGTACAGGCTGCCTGAAGTGAAACTGGTGAAAGAAATTACAGAATACCCTGTGATTCGATGGGTATTTCTGATCGGTTTTTAAAGTTTTCTCATCTTTTAGAATTGACTTTAATATTGTTGAAAGTAAGCACAAGAATTAATTTCTAAAACAGGTGGTAAGAAAGGGGTTTTGTATTTACTCAAATAACCTACTCAGAGAGGTAGAAGACCTTCCTGCAGAAGCTTGATGATACTTTCCATGGTACTTATACCTCTGGGAACTGAAAAATTATTAAAAAGTGCTTCCCTCTCCCCTGGTAATTAAAAAACCCACTACATTTCAGGGAATCCTGCTGTATGTTTTGAGGTTCATTACACACATCTATGGATTACGCAGACAAATATACACAGTAAATATCTCAGTATGCCTGTTACATGACTGGTAAAAAGTTTTCAATTAAAAATTTGATTTTTAACCTTTAGTGAAATTAAAGGTAGATTTCAGACATGTAATGTGAGTTAGAAGTCTACTTCTAACAGTGCTATCTTGTTAGATGTCTTCAGCCTACTGTTTTTGTAGTCACAAATCACAACCCAAAAGGACTATGTTGCAGTTTAATGAATCATTGCTGAAGTCTCTAGATATGTTTTTGCTGTTCATTTCTTGCTGCTGAAATTAGCTTATACCAAATACATTTATATCACTCTGTGTTTCTGAAAAAAAAAAAAAAAAAAGTAATGCAAGAATGACTTTCTAAAGTCTGACAGCAGAAAGATGACCCAGTGATCTCCTGTTTCTTCCTGCTTTGTAAACCTTCCCTTTGGCAGCCTGTACAACAATGTGAATGAATCTCTAGGAACAACAGTTTGGAGGTTTCTGAATACTATTCATACTTGCAGAGCATGGAAGGTACATTATGCCTAGCTTATTTTTAGGAACAGGATTTATTGCTGTAGAGCTGTCATAAAGAATGAAGGTAGTTCAGTTGGAGGAACCCTGCACAGTGTGACTGTGGAGATGACAGACTGCAAGCCTCTGAAAACTGCTATTAGGCTAATTGTGCATTGTGTTGCTCAGTGTCTGTCACCTTACAGTATGTTTTGGACTGTCTGGGACAGAGTGTGTCATTCTGCCCTCTTTAATTTCCTTCTCCTCATAACTGGCTATGTTCCTATAACAAGAAGAGTGTTGCTAAGTGATGAGAAGAGAAATAACATTATTTTGGTCTCACTTCATTTTTTCCAGCTAAAGGGCGAACAGAGCATTTGGAACAGTTACTGTACCTTGTCTCTCTCCATTTCTTTAGCCTGGAAATATGCTGGAGGTCAGATGCCCAATATCTACTTGAACTCATTACTATTCACATGCTTGTGTTTGGCATAATCTGGAAAACATCTGTTTTGAGAAAATGAACCAAAATATATTCTTAAAAATAATATAAACAATTAGTGATCTGATTTCTATAATCCATATGCATTCAAGATTAGGTGAGCACTGTAAAGTTTTTTACAGGGCGGCTTGTGTGAATCAGGGTTATTCATATGGGAAAGAAAGCAATGCAGGGTTAGAGACTGCATGTGCGTATGAATGTACACCATTTCCAGGCTGACATAGGTCTCTCCACGACACATCCCTTTAGCTTGCCTCAGTTGTGATGTGATCTAACAAGACATGTTTGATGTAGCATTAAAATCTTAAAAAATGGGCTTTTCAAAACTGTCATTCATTTTGTCAAAAGAAGTTTCAAAGAACAACTTAGTAAAACCCTGAGCAGGTTCTGTTTCCCCTATTCCCACAAATCCCCTGCTGATTTTTTTTTTTTTTTAAGTCTAGCAAAACACTGCGTGCAAGTCCTGTCTGCTACCCTTGCCTTTCCTAGTTATTTATAAACCTTTTTAAGTGTTAACTGAATTTTTAAATGGTTTATCTTGTTTTTCCATCATGGATGGAAAAATCAGGTGTGATAACTCTCTCATATTTTTGCAATGAATTGGCCAAACAAAAAGCCTGGGGACCAGTGGGTAAAGCCCTTTTGAGTTCAGTGTTACAGTGTAAGAGAGCATGATTCTGGGCATACACAAGCAGCCATTCATTACTCCCATTGCTACCTACAAGGTGTGAAAAGTGTCAAGAGCTCTGATACCTATAAACAAAGAATAAGCCTGTAAAACAACAGGAAATTATCATAAAACCACATCCATTGCGGAGAAAATGAAGGCTGACCCTTGTGTGTCATAGTTTGGGGATGGTCATGTTAATACCACAGGACTGAGAAGCTTCATTATTTGATCACCTGGACCTGAGGAACAGAACAGACATAAGTGACCTTGCTTGGTGTCACAGCCCTACCTTAATTAATTTGCACAGAAGCTAAGTAAAATGACTATATATACTGCCTCTAGCTCAGCAACAGCATTTGCAGGGTAGGACGATGCCAGTGCTTGCTGGGGCTTGAGGTGCAACTGGAGCAACATGGGCTGGCACAGGCTTGCTTCTGTGTTGCAGCTGAGAGCTGCAGGGACAGGACTCCAGCTCCTTGGATCGTAGCAAGAAGGGTGAACTCTTTATTCAGCTTTTGGTACAAAATATGCAGCTATTACTGTGCAGTTTTGTTACAGCACTTGCTGAGGGCCTGAACTACTGCGTGCTGACAGTGACCCCTGGGTTTTTTGATAGCATAAGTTTGGCAAATTAATGTTTTTTCCTGTGCTGAGAATAACCACAAGTGTACTCAGTTCAGTTGGGCGTTTTTAGCTAAAGATTGAACCTACTATTTGCCCAGAACCACTTTTTTTTTTTTTTTTTTCTTTACTAAAATGTGCAAGAAACTCTTCCTCTTAGGAACATATTTCATGGTTGTTTTAGTGCGAACAGATGAATGACATGGAATAGATAGCTTCACTGGTTGCACTTGTCATTTTGTTTTACTGGCCTCTACATGATAATAAACGGAGCTGTAGGTTTTTCTGTGTTATACCCTGCACTATCAGCCTGCCCTTACCATCTCACCAAAAGTTATGCAAAAGCAGGCAAAGATGTTATGAATCACTAATGTCAGGGCAAAGAATAAGGAAAACCTAATGCTACCTTATGCATTCAGAATACTCTAAAATGCTTCAATTTATCTGTCCTGTTTTACCTCTCAGAGGGCTACCAGAGCACATATTTCCAATATTTTGTTGGATAGAGAAGTTCTAGTATAAAGAATAATGCATCTCTTAGTCTAGAGAGTAACTGATGCATTTCATGCATTCCTTAATTCTGACATCCATATGAGTGCAGGACAGAAACATTGCAAATAAAGTGCAGAGGAAGGAAAGAAAAATAAATGGCCTATTTTCTCTCTGCTTGCTGCTCCTTTCCCTTACATTTTTGCTCATAACTTAATCTTAAACTCTAAAATTCAAGTAATGCTCTGTATGTCAGTCCCTCTAATTTTTCCATGCTAAATTACACCCTCCTGCTACTACATGGGAAACTAAACTGTTTCTGTCAAATGTGGCAGCGGTAAGCTGTACTGCTTTACAGTGAACAACGAGGAGTTTGAGAAAGGACTTTACCTCATGAAAGATTTTCTCTTCTTAGTGATGCTCTCATGGGCATGTTTGAAAATATTTTTCTTCAGGGAAGGTAAAAGAAATGCTGTAGATTAGAGCACAAGATGGAAGAATTACATCTGCAAGAGCATCTTTGTGGTTAAGAAGCATAAGACTCTTTTTGAAGTGATGTGTGTGGATATCTCAAATTATGGCTATGTTGAAGAAGCCATGCCATGTTACATTACCTAACTCCACATGAAGCAGTTTGAGTACCTTGAGGTAGTCTAGTCCCAACAGCCTGAGGTTTCACCTGTGTTAGCTTATTCAACTTCGGATATCCTGAGCCAGTAGCTCCTAAGGGCCTAAGAAATTTTTAGAAATACTCTGACGTTTAAAAATCTATATGAAATACTAGGAAGCTGGTTCCCGCGTGTTTTGAAAAATCTTTCCCATACAATTTTGCAGATCATCTTTAGATAGTCAAGTCAATATATCGACTTAAAATGGCAGATGAAAAGAGAATTAAGTCAATTAGCTTTGAGCAAGATTCAGTGCAATGCAGCTGCAGCAACAGAAAAGAAGTAGTCCTTTGTGTGAATATATAAAAATGATAAGGAGAGAAGCGCATGCAGGACACACTGGACTTACTCTGAAATGTGCCCAATCTCCTCAATTTTGGCTGTATCAAACTGGAAGCTCTGATTCTTAGCCAGGCCTTACTTTTCACCATTCAGTTAACCTCAGCCCCATCCTCACAAGGTTTGAATCAGAAGAGCTCCACTGATTTCAGCAGGGTCGTGCCAATTCATGAAGCTGTGATTCAGGCCCCTTATCTGATTCAATTCAGCATTTTCATGCTTTTCCTGCAAGTGTCAAAGATTTGAGTCACTGCTCTTTACTAAAGGTGCTGTTTCATATTCCTGTAATTCAATTTATATTACAGAGTTGAAAGATTTTATTTTGGCTCATCTTTTCTTCTCCCGTTTCCTCTGAAATGCAAACATTTCCTGTATTTAGCCTTGGTCTTTTAAAAATGTTTTTGTATCTTAATGGAAACTGGCAAGATATTATTCATATTTTTCAAGTATTTATATTACTATTGTTTATCATATCCCTTTTGAGTAGACAGGAGATGTTTGTTTTGTTAGAAGACTGTTTATGTATTTGGTTTGTGGAATAATTAATGAATAGTTACATAAGCTGTTATTGGCAATATAAAAATAATAGATCAGACTTGGTCCTGAAAAAAGCTGTCCTTTTGTGTGACAATTCCCAATGCTTATATAGACTTTCTCCAACTGGCTTGGAAAAGAAGCTTAGCCAATAGTTGATTTGACTGAAGTCGTCCACGGTGTATCTGGTGGAGCTAGAGCAAGATAGATGGGGAAATGGCTGGGATTTCCTGAATTAATTTCTCAAATACTTATTCAGGCACCTCAGTAGGAGAAGCTTGATCTTCAGCAGTGCTCAGCACTTTTTTTTCAGTGGAGAGAAAAGTGTGGAGCACAATGCTGATAAAGGTAGTGCTGATCCTAATGAAAGAGAGAGATTGTTGTTCCTAATGGAAAGACACTTTCTGTGTTCTAAGGAAACATTGGGCAACTGGGAGGGAAGTTAAAGAGGTGTTGGAGCTGCACATTGTGTTGCCTTGAGGACTGTCTTGTACGTGCAAGCCATGGCAGACAGAGTACATTCTGCTTTTGGAAGGGAGTTTGTTTTTCTCTGGGCTTCGTTGTGTGTGGGGCCTGTCATGCTCTGTTGGCAAATATGAGATGATTCACTGCTAAGTATGGGCAAAGATAATTTCTTACCTGTTTTAGATCAGTCAGCATCCTTTGAACAAGTTGCTTTTTGATTCAGCTATATGGAGATCTGTTTTTAACAGTTCTTGCTGCTTACAGATGGAGCTATCACATTAGCAGCTTTTACCTTGCCATTGGCACTGACACCTGTTTTCTATGTGCTATTCTCTGTCTAGTTTGCCTCTGGAGAAGAAGATGCCATGGATCTTGTTGCCTTCATGCAAGTTTTTGAAAGCTTCTTTTCAGATGCATCTCTGGCTCCATGGGCAAGAGGAAGACAGAGACAGTTTAGGCTGCATTTAACCATGTGACAAATTATGTAATAGCGTAGGCTTTAGGTTCATTGACCTTTGAGAAGAATATAAATAAATTTTAAAGGATTATATGTGTTCCGACACTCGCTAATTAGTAACTAGCAGCTTTGCAGTTAAACGGTTCCTCCTCTCTGTACTGAGACATCATATTTTGGTCTTCTGTCTGCACCCAAACTCAGTTTTTTTGTTCTAATGTGTGTACAAGCCACAGTCAGTCCTGAGTCCTTGACAATTTAGGACAGCAGCAGCATTGCATCAGCAATGAAAAGGAGAGTTCCACTTTCCGAAGAAGATAGATATGCCTGTTGATAATGGGTTAAATATATTGGTCAGTTCTTATATTGGGAAAACTTATTTTAAATTCTTTGCTGAGATTTCTTCCTGAACGCTTGAATTCACCGAAGCTAAAGCCCTTGACTTAGTTTCAGGAAAGAGCAGAATATTCTTTATACAGAAGAATTAAAGAATGTGGCCAAAATAACTGTTGTACAAAACATATCTCATACCTGAGTAAAAAAAAAAAAAAAAATACTTGTCAGGGTGTTTATTAATGCTAAGCTCACACTCTCTAGTACTCTCATATTATTTCAAAGCTGTGAAATCATACACTATAGGCCTAAAATACTAAAGATAAAATAAATCCACGTTGAGTATAGGATTTGTAGTGTTTCTATGCCCATTATGCAGAAAAAAATACTTTGACGTGAGTTTTCAACTCCTGTAAATCATCATCAGTTCACTGGAATCAGAGGGACATCACATCACTGATTCACAGTGGCATTGTAGGCTCTTAATCTACCTATAAACTTTTTAATAGTCTGGTTTAGTATATGATTTTGTACGTTAATCTCTAGCTTCAAACAGAGAAAGCCTTCTGTACACTGAAGACATTTATAATGTCTGTGCTTCTTCCGTTCCTGCTGTGGGTGGTTTTATATGTGGAATAAGACCACATTAATCAAAGGATGTCAAGTTATTAGTCCCTGGCCATTTTTCCTGCTGCATCTGTAAAATGGTGTAATAATTGATGCTTAGGCAATGTCTAAAGAATGATCAAGTAAATCTGATATTGCACTATACCGATGATCTGTTTTTCCTTTTTCAGATGGTCAAGCTTATCCTGTTATTCTCTGGGATTCCTTGCTAAGTCCAACAGATAATAATAGCCATTCTTCAGTGAGATTGACTTGGGGACAATATCAGCAGCTGTTGAAGCAGAAATGCTGGCAGAATGGTAAAGTTCCCAAAGCTGAGTGGGGCTGTACTGAAATCCATCATTATGAGTGGTCCAAGATGGCACTTTTTGATTTTCTTCTACAGGTAAAACATTTATTGAATGCTACTATCTGCTTCAGAAGTCACATGGGACTCCTAGAAAAGTAATTTTAGTTTACTTCTTTTATTTAAATGGAGAAGAGATGTATTTGCACAGTTTGAACTTTTTTTCTGGTTGTATCTTAAAATTCAAATATCCAAAATGCAACTTATAATCAGGGAAAGAGATCAGGAACTTGACTGACTCATTTTCTAAAAGAGGAAGCAAATGCTTTTGTCTTGAGACATCTTGTTTTACCTCACCTTGAGGCAGGCAAGTTTCTCCTTGATTCCTTGTTTCTCCAAACATAGTTCTTGACTGTGTTTACAACTGTAAAACATTGATTTTTACTCTGTGGTCCTTCCTGCACATCCCTAGCCCCCAGGGATGGTTTAAGTGGCTTTGGTCAGTTGAAATCTGGATCAAAATAACAGTTGTAGTGGCTAATTTTCCTTATTTTTGAAAACCTAGCCAGTGCCTTGGTAAAAGGAAAGAATAGAGCAGCAACTGATGAATAATATGGCTGCTATTCCTCAATTAAGTATGGCACATAATCATTAGCTCTCCAGATAACACCAAACTAGAGCTCTGCCCACTGGTATCATAATGTGTGGCTACAGTTACAGCAGTTGTGTAGTGAAATATTACTACACTCCCCGTACTTATAAGGGCTGAACCACCTGACTGGAAGCTAATTTGATGGCTTCCTGAGATATGGCACTACTTCCAGTTGTCATTGCCTGCCAGACAGGTCTGGGTGACTGAGCCTTCTGTAACACTTACCAGTTTATTTAAAACTACAGAAAGCACTAGTTTTATGCACTGGGTTTGGTTCATATAATTCAGCTTTTTATAGAGTTACATTTCTTGAAATATAAAAATCATGACTTCGCTTACACATAGCCTATCCCTGTCATTCTCAGTCCTGTTCTAGGATGAATGTATGTTTCCAACTTTTTTTTGGAGTTACATTTTTGCAGACTTATGTTAAACAGACCATTCAATTCTTCTCTAAAAATAGATTGTCACTTGTCTAATGACTCCATCTTTAGTCCCACTATGAGCCAGTAATTGTTAGAAACTGATAGAGAGTCATATGTGGATTATTCTGATGCTAAACAGTAACGCCCCTATAGGAATAGTACAGATTGTGTCAGTGTTAATGTTTTCATACTGTTGGCTTATTGATGAGGAGTTTAAAAATCCTCAGGAGTTCTGTGTTGATTTCTAATTTGAAGGTCTCCTAAGGCAAGTTTAAAATCTTCATAATAGAACTTCTATTATCCAGAAGGAACGGTCAGTTAAAATAAGATACAACAGGATTGAACTTTATGTGACAAAGAAACAAATTGTTCTCATAATAGTAGCTGGTATCAGTGATTGTACCTCCAGTTTCCTATCAGACAAGAACGTGCATACCAGAACATGAATGAAGATGGGTCTTCGGGTTCTTAAAGATTAAAATATCATCTGGATACTCTTGTACCTAGCTTAAAGTTTATCAGCAGTAGAACATGAAGACTCTAAACCAGGAAATGCCAAGAAGGGGTTCTGAATTTAAAAAAAAAATAATTCATGCTTCATGATTGATACAGAAATAAAGAATAATGGTGGAAAGGATTCTCTATTAAACACAATTCCCTCAGAAGAATGGGTTTGGCGTTCTAACCTCTGGTTTCAAATACTATAAAAGTATAGGAACAGGCTAAAAAATGCTTACAGCTGACCTTCACTTGCCTTCTGCAAGAACTCAAGTAAAATTACATTAAACGTAAAATGGCTTCTTTAATTTTGGGGGTTTGGACCTCTCGTGCATAAATATATGAAAAAAAGCAATGCTAAACTAGAAAGGTTGCAGCATCAATTCCAGAGTGTCCCATCATTCCGTCTTAACACTGGTATGATGCAAGGTACTATGAAGAGGTTGTAAGAACATGATCTCCTCATCTATTTAATGCATGTAATGAAGCACGGTGCGGATGAATCAGGGCTATATGTCAAAAGAGTCTGTCTAGAAGGACTCTGCTTCACTCTTTGGCAAAGCCTTTGGATGAGTTGAATGAGAGATCCCATGAGCTAGAATGCTTCAAGCAAGAGGGGCTCCAGTGTCTGCAGATGCTGAATGCTGCTCACAAAAGGAGAAATCTGTTCCTTTCCTCAGGATTTTCATGCTTTTAAAACAACCACTGCCACCAAGACTGGTGGCAACAGTACTACATACGTAAGAAGAAAATAAAACAATTCTCAGACTTTCCTTTGATGAACAAAATTAGGAGGCCTTTTCAATACGTAATGTAGTTCTACATCAGAAGAGCCTTAACAGTTCATTTCACCGGTGTGCCACAAAACCAAAATTGTAATTTTAGAAGGCTTATGTGAACATTAATGCTTTTATGTTTAGAACAGTTTGAGGAGTTGGCAGTATACAACAAACAAGGACAGGAAAAATTATTTACCTTTGCTAAGCTACTCATTAAGTCTTAGGTACCCCCAGGCCAGGCTTCTACTCTGTAAGCACCGATCAGCAGGAGCAGAGCTGCTCCCTGAGAAGATGAGCTGGAGCCAAGGAGAATGAGCTGGAGCCAAGGGCAGCCCCACAGCAGGCAGCACCGGCAGAGCCAGCAGCAGGAGAGCCAGCCCAGCTGGAGGAACGGTGAAAGCCACAGGTCTCATTGATAGCCCAGTGAGCATCAGGCACAGATAAGCCAGCAAACCAGCTCTAAAGCCAAGGAGCAGAAACCTCAAGCAGCAATCCATGAGCATCATTAACAGGACAAGCAGCAGATACAGCCTTCCCAAAAGGGCTTACAAAAGGTCTGGGGTGTCAGGCCTGAGCTTAAATGGGGCTCCTGGGCCCATGGAGGGGGAAAAGGGGGCTGTGTGGAGATCCAAGGTGAGGCCATTTATGGCAATTAAGGCCTATTTGTGCACTCAGGGCGCTGGAAGTCTTGTGTATTTACTCTCATCTAGTCAACAGAGGTGGAAGCACTTTAAAGGAGTGATTTATCCTTTCTATATTAGATGGTTATCCTAAAATGGCATCCTTTGCTCTGGAGGTGCTTTGTTCTTGTCATTGTTTATGAAAGGGAATATAAACAACTAAGTCAGAAGAGATGCTTAACATTTACACCACTAAAGTTAGACCAGATGTATTCATTCCATCTAAGAGCTATGCGATGAATAAGCGAGGGTTTGCACGGGAAAAAAAAGCCTAGACCATCGTGTCATTAACGTAATATTATTATATTATTATTATATTATATTATTATATTATTATTATATTATTATTATATTATTATATCATTAACTCAGGGAGGCTGCTCTGTGTTTATAAAGGCACTCTTCTTGCATTTTGTATCTTCTGATGGTTTGCTTACTAATATTTTCAATTATTTTTGCTTACTGTTAGTCTAGTAAGTCCCACAAAATGGAGATGCTCTGTGTATGTCAGGCTGTGCTATTTCCATTGTTCTCCAGAAGAGAAATGTAAAAAAACTACAGCCTTCTGAAAAAAAATAGACTTGTATTCACCATCTTGTTATTCCAGTTACAGAGTGGTATTGTTCCATTGTTTCCACATATTTTCTACTGACATAACAAATCATGGCTATAAAATGGATAAAATACACAGTCCGCGAAATTGTTTCTAACAGCACGTGAAGTATGGGGCCCAGTCCTTCATTGCCATTTCACTGCTGACTTTAATTATACTTGTCCCAAGCTTGCTTTCCTGTCAGCTGTGTTAGTGAGCAATGTCTTACAGTGACACTTTGCCCCAAATACTTTGACATTGTTTTCACTTGGCACTCTGTTGTACTTTGTTTTAGATCTATAATCGACTAGACAGAAACTGCTGTGGATTCAAACCTCTCAAGGAGGATTCCTGCATGCAGCAAGGACTGAAGCTGAAATGTAGTGATCAGGATGCTGTTGACCTGACACACATAGTTCAGAGAAGACATGACCGAAGGCACTTAGTCTTCATAGACAATAAGGGTTTCTTTGACAGAAACGAGGACAATCTTGACTTCAAAATATTACAAGGAATCAATGAGTAAGTTTTAAGTTATTAATTTTGTAAAAAGGTTGAAAATTTCTTCCCAGTTTGGGCATGAGACACTAAGTTACTGGAATAGATATCGCCAGCCCAAGACATTTACAGGATGTGTCTAAAAATGTATGAGTAATTCCACTTCTTTAAAAGATACAATTAACATGCATATGATTAGGCATGCATCAACTTCCTTTGCTGAGTTGCAGACTATATTCATAGAATTGATTGCTAAACCACAACATAAATACTGCAATTCAGAATGATGGCAAAGCTGATGAATTTCTTTGTGATTTTCCAGATTCCCTGAATCTGCAGTTTCAGTGCTGAGGAGCCAGCGTTTACGTGAGAAGTTGCTTCAGTCTTTGTTCCTTGACAAAATATACTGGGAGAGCCAAGGTGGCAGAAAAGGAATTGAAAAGCTTATTGATGTAATAGAAAGGAGGTCCAAAATTCTTCTTACTTACATAAATGCACATGGAGCCAAAGTATTGCCCATGAATGAATGAAGCAGTCTTGTTTCTATCTGAGAGATAGTCTTTAAAAAAATTTGCATGAGGCAAAAACCAACAGTGAAATTGATTTAATTCATAGGCTTATGTAATTTTTATTTTTTCCAAACTTTCAATTTATTTTTAAATAAGAAATCTTGCATGGATTAAAAGCAACATTTAAATGTCGGATGCAGCTCAGCACAGTGCAGTCTATTCTATGTCACCAATGAAATGAGATGAAAAATAACCAAATGATACAATAAATAATGTAGTAATATGTAGGTACCGTGAACACTCATTTTGCTAAACTGTTTGAAAGTTAGCAACAGGATTTTCACTGCATGAGTCTGGATTACTCTTGCTTATCATGACATATACCTACCTATCTATTTAAAAAGACTCTTACCATCTTTCTGGAGAAATATCTATTATCTTCTTGCCGTGAGATAATGGCAGTAGTTGAATACTTTCATAGCTGTTCTTGTCTTTATATTGAAATTATAGGGTGTATAAGATTTTAAAGTATTTTTGAAAGTGCTTGTGTAATGGTATTAATGAGAAACTAAGATGTTCTGTGTCAATGTTGATGTGGATGGGTGAATTCAGTGATTTAAATAACTACAATTCCACTGCAGCTAAAACAGATTTTCTTTCTTGGTATCAGAACAGCTATTAACAATAATTGCATTACTAGAAGAAATAGATCTCGTTATAGGCAGAGTTAAAGATACTTAGTAAAATTTTAAGAGCTTGGTCATCTAAATAATCTTTTATTTTATTCTGTCAGCAAAGGGCAGATAAATTTGTAAAAACTTCCCAGAACTTAACTATTGCCTTGAGAGGTCATATTTCAGAGTGCCTTGGACTTTTCTAATGGCAGCAAAGTAGAATCTGATAGGATTTTCATATTATCCATTTCTTAAAAAGTTATAACTTATTAGCCAGGTACTGTATTATGGAAACAAAAATACTACCATAGCTTGCATTGTAAACAAAGCCTAGAAACAGAAATAATCCTCCGGACCCATTTCACATGGAATTCCTGTTGCAGTAAATGCCACTCTTTGATGACTGTTATGATCAACTTGTCTCATTTTCTAGCCTATTGAACATTTTTCTTCCTGCTAGATACCTGTTCAGATGGATTATCACACACTTCTGGGAGTGAAAGGCACAACTTTCAGCTGCACTGGACTTAGGAGAGGGCCATACAAGATATACAAGAGTGTACCTGATCATGAAAAAAAGTCCTATGAGAACTCTGTCTTCTAGCTTATCCTCTTCTTTCCTTAGGCTGACTGCACATCCTGAATGCCAAGTCATTGCCTCACATTGCCCAGTTGTATTTTTTTTCCAGAACTGTCTCATTACCTAGAAGAGAAAGAAATCAGAGGTCAGGATTTTTTTCTTTTCAGATTAGGTCATTTATTTTTATGGAGATAACTTGATGCGTTCTTCTCCATTTCTTCTGGGCACGGGCTAGTGTTTCCTTGAGCATGATGCATGCTTTTTTAATTTGCCTGGCAGTTCAGTGTGAGTTCTTAAAGCAGCAATGTAATTGCCAACTAGTAAGTAATTGCCCTGAAGCTGACCTGGAGCAATGCCCCTCAGCAGTTCCGAGTTTAAGAGGTCCAAGCAGCCATGATGCTGTGCAGCGCTTAAAAATTCGATCAAGCATGAAAAGCATAACTGTAAAGAGATCTTCAGGAGACAAATCCCGCAAATGAATGTCCTTAGGAAATGAATGGTGTTTTCTACTAGATATTTTTGATGGCAGAGGCAAACAGATCAGGTTGTTATTAGAGCTAATGTGCAGGGTGAAACAATGTATAGATCTACATAGAAAGTACAAGGGGAAGGATAGGTGTGTCCCCTTGTGCTGTCTGGTATGGACCAGACAGGCACATAAAGGCAGGCGCTTCCCAGAACTTCTGCAGGGACCACTGAGTCCAGAGAGAATGGTGAAGGCAGATTGGGCTGAGCCATTGCTGCACACTGTCCAAGGACAAAGGAATGCTTCTTTCTCTGACAGTCTGAATTTGGGTCTAGGGCAAGGTGTTCTGCATCCTGCTCTTCCTTACAGTGGTGCCTTAGTGGCACTACGCATTGCTGGAGGCCTTGCTTTCTGTGCTGTGTCAACGTGCCGTATTTCTTACGCGTACAAACACTCTCAGACTCTTCAGGGAAGTCAGGAGAGGCTTTGCGAGATTTGCTGGTGGGACTGGACTGTAGATTCTAATTCTTTAATGCTGATAACAAACTCTGGAAAGTGCCTTTTCTCCTCAGTGTTTATCCGGTTGCTGTGGAGCTTGGTACCTGGATCTAGTATTGTTAATAATACAAAGTATGATTGTGGTGGTACTTATGCGTACATGCTAGCCAAGTTCTAGGTTTTTTTTTACAAGAATGAAGAATTCTGTACTTTTTGAGTGCCTTTGCATAAGTGCTCTGGTAAAAAATACAAAAGAAATGTTTTGCAGAGCTTATTTATTCACTGCTAATAGATTCAAGGTATCTGACCTCCCTTCAGTAACAGGAGTAAAGTTTATTGGGAAATCAGTCCACTTCCTTTTAGAACAGCATGGCGTTGGACTGACAGTTCTGCACTGTAGCCGAAATAATATTAACCGATAGGAAAAAACCCGAAGAAGCCTTACTCTACCTATGGTGGTGATCAGCAAAAAGCCAAGAAACTGTGTTTTAGTCATCTTTGCTGGGCTGTCTTCCATTTATGGGCATGTGGGATCCATGCTGCGCATTACTCGGAAGGGTGTAACCAACGGCAACACTCCAAAACCTGTGGGTGGGAAGAGACGATTATGTCATTCTTGAATCTGTCTGAAAGCCAGAACCACATGAAATGGAATTACTAAGAAAGTCAAGAGAGTTTGCTGATTTCATAACATTGGAAGACAGAGCTTAAAATAAGTAGCACAGGCACAGATGCCTTAAAATTCCTCGGGCGCCTGCCAGCAAGTTAATAATCTTAAATGTTTCAGAAGCTGAGGACATGAAAACTTGTATAGAGTACTGCAAGAGCAGTTTCCTTATTTTTTGTGTGTGTGTATTCCATAATGCACTGTATTAAAAAAAGATAAATTCAATGGTTTCAAACAAGCAAATACAGATTTAGGGTACATTAAGGGACAAGCTTCCAGTAGCAATTCTGGAAACACTTCTGTGCATGTGTGTGTATGTGAACCCAAACATATATGTATGTGTATATATGCCTTGGCTTATTTCTATAAAATGGTCAGTTTGGCTAATAAAGAATGAGTTGTTTATACAATTTGCTGTTTATATCTGGAACTGTGTTTGTCAGCATAAGTCCAATTTGGGTATGCACAAATTGAAGTTTAAACAAAATATTATTGTGGATTAAACTTTTGTTCTCAAAAGATTAACTTTTCCCTTGCTAACACATTTATATAATCTTAAAAGTTTTCTACTTAAAATTGTAGAGAAAAACAGCAATATGTTCCTATGTGAGCTAAACTGCCACAGTGATATCAACTCAGATGTTGTTATTGAGTTTTATATTAGATACTGAATTTCCATTTTATTTTCAAATTTGTGCATTTTAAAAGTCAATTTATTTGTCCTTTTATTAGTAAGTAAAAGTGTTATCATAGGTAATGAATTGTTTGAATCTCTGCTGCTATTGTCACATAATGTCCAGGAATATGCAAAATAAAATAATATCTTCATCAGATTTTTCGTACATATCTCTGTGTATCTACATATCTAAGTTGCAGTAACAAAACCATAATACATACTGACGTAATATGTGGATCATTAGATACTGTTTAGAAAGAACTATGGCCTTGAGCCTGCTGCTTCAGAGACCATCCAAACCGGATTACGAAGCTCTTCCCACGAAAATATTTTCTAGCTGTGTACTCAAGAGACTTGTAACTCTTTCTTACTAAGCTGATTCACTGTAGCAGTGGAGCTTCTGGTTATGGCAGCATTAGTATTTACCGACTTCTTCAGCCATTCTGACAATGCCCCCTTACACAAACATTAAGCTGAAAAGGCCATGCCTGTTTATGATGCCAGAACAAGAGTATTGGTCAACAACTGGTAAACTTTTCAATAGATCATGAACAAGTACAGGAGTAGGAAAAAGACACTGAACTCTACATGGAATAGACACACAGAGTTAAAGTAGCCTAAGAACTTTTGGTTTCTGAAATTTACATTTTTTCCATGATCCAAGAGAGACTAATGGAAAACACAAAGATGTTGAAACATTTTTAAACATTCTCTTTCCCACACAAAGTAATTTTCTTTGTTTTATTAAAAACATTATTTTTGCACATTACTGCATACTTCAGGCTAAATTCTCTCAGATACATTTGTGTAAATTCATTACATTTCCACTAAATTATCCAAATTCCAGATAAAACAGTTTAAATCAGCTAGATTAATCCATATTCTCAGAGGTTAGAGAACTGAACCCTAAGATCAGAAGGAGATCTTAGGAGAGTGACAAACAAAAAAGGACAGTTGCCTGAGATACAGCAAGAGTATAGAACTTGGCATGCAACTTCTCTAAACAATTGTCTGTGTGTCTGTGGGCTCCAAGCAGGATCTACAAGTTTTCTTTGGAGGCTATCAGCCTGTTCTACCTGTGTTTCTGTGGGAATGCCTCATCTAGCCAAATACAAGCATCTGAAATAAAAAAAAAGAAGTGCAGCAGTATCTTCTTTTATGTCTTGTGAAATATATCAACTGTATTTCAAAATGACATCATTTAAAAAAATAATTTTCCATGGTAGGTGAAGAATGCTTTGTTTGTAGACAGAAATCTGATTTGAAAAACGCAATCAAAAGCTAGAGCTTCTCAGAATGGAAGTGAGTCAAGCTATGGGGTCCTTCAATGATCAGTGCTGGGACTGATTTTATTTGTCATCTTCATCACTGACATAGAGAAGGCTATTTCCAAGGATGCAAATGATACTAAGCTCCTTTGTGCATTCATATGACAGATTAATAGTGAAGAACTCTAGAAGAACCTTATGAAACTGAGTAGGTCAAAGCTGGCAGATGAACTTGGGTAAGCTTCAGAGTTAATAGAGATTTCTTCAGTTTGAAGATGAGAAGGCTGGAGGCGCTGGTAATTTAGATTTACAAAATCATGGAGATGATGGATGAGATGAATGCAGAAAGTATTATTCAGCAAATCCTGCAATACCAGAGGTGTGGAGCACCCAGTGAAACTAGTATCTCTTTTAAGCAGATAAAGAAAGTTCTTCCCACAGCAGATATTAATCCTCTGGAACTTGCTGCCATGAGGGACTGTGGAAACTAATAGCATTGGGAGATTTAGAGGGGATTAGACAAATTCAAGGACTGAGTATATATATGGACTTTATAAGAATTAGGCAAGCTTTCTTCCTCTAACATTCCTAATACCACAATTCTGGATTCTGGGGAATATAAAGGGGCCACAGATACTGCCTCATCCTCATGTGCTCCCCTCACATTGCCACAGTCTAACGTACTACTGGGCTAGGGGGCCCACTGGTGGGACCTAGAAGGGAATTCCAGGTATTCTTATATTCGAAGGCTATTCAACCAGCTGCAGTGTTGTAAGATTTTCAGGCCTTTTCCCTCTTTATAAGAATATATGAAATTATCTTTGTTTTGCAAGGATGGAGATGCTTGGGTATTTTGAGTCTGCCTTGTCTTTGATAAAAGAAAGCAAGCAGATGGCAACTTTCTAATGCCTAAGGATGGTTTTCCAAAAGAAGTTCCATGGATTTTTCTCTTCTGGAGAAAATGAAATGCACACAAAATGTAGAAACATTTTTTTCCCCACTGTGATGCATTGTTCTATCTGTATTTAGCACTGGATATATCAATGCCATTATTTAACTGAATCAGATCTTGAAATAAGTGGCTTTCTCTGAAAATTAGTTCAGTCCCAGTAGCTATTTCCTTGTTAGCCTTCTACAGTACATTTACTTCTTATTTAATCATTTGGTTTCAGCATTCACTGTTCAGGAACATTATCTGTATTTCCTTCAATGGAAAATCTGGCACGGCATTCCATGGAGGTCTGTTAAGCTGCACAAGCACGCCTTATCAGAGGTATTCTTCAGCTAGCTATGTGAAACACTTTGAGATTTGGTTGGTATTTATTAACTGCTAAGGAAAATAGCACCAGTGTGAAAGCCAGCTTTATTAAGTGTGAGAACTATGTCTAACAGATGTTAAAAGCTATCAGTCCAGTGAGCTGCTCTGCTCTGGGAATTCTGAAACAACTGCAGGTTACACATCTTAATTTTCAGATATACATTGCTCTATCACATACCTAAGACAGGGTCTTTTCTGGTCACCTAGGTTTTTTCTTACCTCAGGTCTCCTGAAAAAGAAATATGCAGTCAAAAAGTTAAAGTGAGAACTGACTGAAGCATATTCTGAAGGCAGCTGTGGCACAGTTGTAGTAAACTGGTGACACCCAAACAGAAGCTAGAGCTGCCTTAAGAAAGCATCATGCTGAAAGAAGGTAAAAGGATTTGTCCTGTTAAATATGAAAAGACCTGGCTCAGACCAAACAGATGTGTGGAAAGCATCTAAGACTCTTTATCTCAGATAGGATGCTTTTTTAAGCCCACATGGCTCTAACAGATCTCTCCCCAAACTCACATTCACTCATTCTGCTACCTCTTTTCACGATCACATGGACAATTCTACCATCACAGCCATCACCGGTCTATAACATGAAGGTTACTGAACTTCAAGAGTTCTCTAAGTTTGAATACCCAGGACACTCCTAAGTCTTGCTGATTTTTTCCCATAGGCTTAACCTTTCCTCCCTCTGGGGCTAAACCACTTAAATGAAAAACTCCCAACACTACACCTGCAGTTTTTATTTTGCACCTGATCCCTACAAGATGAAAGTCTCTTTTGTGGCTGGTAAATATCCATTTGTTTTTCTCTTGGTAATCTCCAGTTCTGTGAAGCATCAGTACCAACTGCCTCTCAGATTTCAAATACAAAAATAACATCTTTTTTTCTTCTCCAATCTTTTTCTTTCATCTAATATTCCTGATATAGCTGATATCTGCTACTATCCAGAATTGCAGTTGCAGCTTAGATACATAAATGCCTGGAGAGAATCTCCTAATTTATTTCATGTGTATCATTATTAGAGTGGATCTAGCTCAATTTTTAAGAGGAGGGCACATCACAACCTATCTCTCAATAGATTGTGATGAGAAACATCAGAAGTTTGTTTTGCTTTGGTTTTTTTTGTTTTTTTTTTTTTTTTTTTTTTTTTTTTTTTTTTTTTTTTATAAGAGTCTGGGATGAGAGGATGTGAGACTTGCTATCACATATGTGATCCACAAATTACTGCTGGCTTCATCCTAACTGATCCCCATTGTGGAGGGCCTCAGCGAACTCATTCCTCCTGCTGTGGGTTCCTTTTCTGCTCTGGGTCCATTCTGTAGTCATCCAGTTCCTGTTGCACTTTTAACTAGGAGACTTCCATTGCAGGGTTGTTAGTTAAAAAGGTTTTGCAACATAGAAGGGAAGGGGGAATAAAAATGCCTACTGCATGCACTAAAAATGCAGTGTGTAGTTTTCTTAATAGTCAGACTTGTAAAAGTTGTATTATGAGATGTTATAGTTCTGTTCAAGTGCTGTTCTGCCTTTTTCTGTCTCTTTTCAGAGAAGATGTCCAGCAGACTTGCCGGTTCCCCCCAGGTTCAGTTCACTGCCAGCTACCTGAGCAGTTGCTTCCTCCAGTTGCTTTCTAAGGGAGTTATGAGGCTCTTTCTGTCCAGCTACAGGAGTCACCGCGCTTGGGATCGCAGCTGGGGCCTGGGCTGATTCACAGGTTTTATACCCCATTGGATAGTGGTTGTAGTACCTATTGCTAGAAAGAGTGCAAAATGCCATCAAAACCTACACTTCTAGTTGCACTTGAATGCTCGCTTGGCTGTATCAGCATGAACTAAGCCAATAAGGCAACTCATGCGACAGAAGTGTTGATGTATTCTGAGAGCCACAAAAGGTCAAAGAACAAAAGAGGTTAAATCCCCATTAAAATCACAGCTTTCCACTTCATTTTGCTTTGCGTGCTCGTATGTCTAAACTTGAACTTGAAATGCTAGTTTGCAAGTAGCTATAATGTGCAAACATGGCTTTTGTCAACTTGTTAGTGTTTGTGTTCTGAAGCAAGAGATCCGAAAGACAAAGAACAACAGGATTAAAGCTTATGCAGTGTCAACATCATAGTGGGAAAGAATTCTTACCCTCTATCACAGTCTTATCTGAGTGATAATCTGCATGGCCATGGAGAGCTGACGCATATTTTTTGTTATGCTGTTGCCTCAGTGCTAAGATTTCTTTGATTTTCTGCTGTCAGCTTTACCACCCGGTGTAGATATCCTCGAGCTTTCACAATCGGTGACTTTGCTGCTGAGAAAACAGAACTTACATATGTTTCGGTACTTTTTGGCACTCTGCCTTGCACATATAGTTTAGGGTCAAATTTTCAGCCTATTTGTTTTCCCTGATTTTAAGTATAGGTAATAGTGTAATTAGCAAGGAAAAATAAATAATTTTTCCTCTTTGGTGGGAGAGAAGTCCTGCCAAATAGTGTAAATATACCTTGTAAGGAGGGATTGCGATTCATCAGAGAAAATCATATTCCAGAAGTGTAGATCTGAAAATGTGATCTGATATTCATTCTGTT